CTTTGTCTTAATAGTATTTAAAACACGGAAATATTTCCAAACTGTCTTGACTAAGAGTTTTAAAATACGACTTGCAATGTTCATTTAACAAGGAATGAACAAAAGCCAGACTTCCTGTAATACTTAACCAAATCCTCTGGGAAACACAGGAGCTCTCCTTGGATCTGCTTATTTGGGTCACTGGTAGCTTTGCTCTTGAGATTCTTGGGAATGGGTTTCTCTGCAAAATGATCCAGTGAAGACAATTTGTTGTCTATGAAAAAACCCCAAACTACTTCAGGAGAAGCCTCTTTCCTTTCATATAGTCTGGGTATTGCCAGCCTGTATAAGCCTGAAAACCTGTTGCAGCCTGCAATGCCAGCAGTAGTTGTAACTCGCTTTCAGGAAAATCCAGGTTCATCTGTTTGTAGTAAAAGCATAACAGAAAGGTGCTCAACAGCTGACAAAGCAGTAGTAAGGACTTTACAAGACATACCATGCCAAAACCTTTGGAATAAAGTAAGAAAACAGCTTCCACCATAAGACAGCAGCTCCACTACAGACACAGGTGCAACTGACAGAATCTGCTTTCATGCTGCATGGCCCCCCAGCATCCTGCAGCCCACCATGCCCTCAGAGAAGGCTCAGCACCTTGCAAGGCAGAGCAAGGGGACACAGCTGCAGCTGGGGGCAGTTGGCACTGCTTAAGTCCCAACTCTCCAACACAGTGTCTGCAGAGCAGCCTGTCAGTGTGAATATACTCCATATGGAAAAGGCAGAATCTGTAATACAGAAGTGATAAAACAGTTCAGAAAGACAAGAATCAGTTGAATGGAATCAGGGGCCTTTACAACACCAGCCGCACCAAAGGTGTCTCAGAATTGTGATCATTCAGTTTTTCTGCTGCTACATGATATACACCTGTGTTCACAAAGCTACCTGAGGGTTTGCATTCACAGGACTTCAAACACCACATGCTTTTGCACATAATTGCAGAATTCATTACTGCCTGCACAGCAGATACTCTAGTGTTTTACAGGTGGAGCTGCTCTGAGCATCAGACCAAAGCAGTTGTGACTCCAAAAGGAGAGTGAATCTTCTTACATGACACCTGCCCTGGCCTGCCTGTTCTGTCACTCTACCATCAGGTGTGTGACACAGTCATTGCAGTTGTTTGAACACTGCTGGTTGTTGTTTTTATTTCTTATGTAAATAAATGTTACATAAACATACTCAGCATTTCTTACAACTGCTAAAATTGTGACCTGAAAAACTCCCTACACTCATCTCACACAGCCTACACTCTATAGGTAAGGCAGTAAAATCACAAAAGCTAAAAATTATCAAAACTACACCCACCCATAAGATAGTTCTGCTACTTATTTCTACAGAGATTTTTTTACATGCACATGTACTATCATACCTTGTTTTATCAAGTCCCCTTCATAGAATATTAGTCTCCTGTAAGTTTTTACAAGAGATTAAAAAAATGCCTTTTTTTTTTTAACCTGTAAACATTTCAGTCAAATTAAAGTAGAAAGGTCACTCTGGTAAAAGCAGATAAAAGGTTGACTTCCAGATTTGCCCACTCTACATTATTCTTTATTCCTTATTCTGATGACAACTTTCCTTGCAAATAGGTTTCTTGGGCAAACTTCCACAGGAATGTATTTAGATTCTCAGTATTGCAAGAACCCATTTACTTCTACAACTTAAGAATAGCATGAACAAGAGTGCCAGATTTTATAGTAAGCTCTTCAGCTCCATAAGAAGCTTAATGTTCTGTAGTTTTCTGCAGTATGGTACATTCCTTTATAGACTCATTAATCTCATACTACATACATTATTTGGCATCTGATCAGTATATTAAAGGAGATTTTGAAGATACAAATGGGAGCTGGATTTTGAATTCACTGGCTTTCAGTGGGAACCTAGTTTCCAACTTCCCATGTGATTTTTCAAAATTTCCCTTCCAGCACAACCCCCTAAACTGATTCCCCAACCTCAGTGTTTGGATTTACACTATTAATTTACTTGTGTTTTATTTGGGAAACTCTAGTGCCTTTTCAGTCTTATATAAATGTGTATATACATGTACTCTATAACTACAGGATATGTCATATACAGTCAGTGTTTGCTATCAGCAACTGTACTCATTAAACATATTTACATATGCACTTTTTTTGGCTTTTAACCTTTCACTGTATAGGTTTTGTATCAATCATTAACACTCTGCTCCTTTCCACTTCTACAATAAATCAAAGAGGTTTGTTTGCTTTTGTTTATTTCTAGAAACACTGAAAATCACAATAAAACTTCACATTTGTACAGCATCATGTGTTTTCTACCTTCAAAAGCATGATCTCCATGAGTTTATACATGGAGAACTCAGGAACCGATCCAGATGAATACCAAATGCATCCTTAAATCTGGTTATGCAGGTAGGGCTGGAGAGTCCCAGAGTTTCACAGCAGGGCTCTGATAAGAAGCCTGGATGCAAACTCCAGATCACCACGATGATGACACTCAGCTTTCCATCTCACACAGCAACTGAGCGTTACCATCCTCGCTCTCCTTGCTTTGGGTGATACTCTGCAGTTTCTCTGAGATGAACCCAAAGCCCAGCCAGGAATGAGGCTGTGTACAGAAGGCAGGTCTGTGTGTATTGTGGATGGACAGGGTCTGCCTGGGAGCACTTCTAGCTTTGGAGGCTGAAGCCTTTGGTAGCCTTTAAGGATCATGATAATTACTGATAGGGTGAAGCAGCAAGGAGGCAAACTTCAGTCTGCAACTGAGAAGCTGCAGATACCCCATCCTTGGGAGTGTTCAAGGCCAGGTTGGAGTACGAAAAGAAATGGTATTATTCTAGGAGTGGTGAGAAGGCATGAAGAACTAGATGGTCTTTTAATCTCCCTTCCAACCCAAACCATTCTGTGATTCTCTGAAACTCTTGAGCTGTTATAACAATAGCCAGTGAATAACAACAGGCACAGCACCTCAAAGTTTCAGTGGCAAAAAGCCCCACTTGAAAGTTACAGCCCATTTTTATACAGTTTTCAAAGTAATTCTGTTTTATTCTAATTGGTTAGTAACGTTCTTGCCACTCAATTCATTAGTTAGAAGGTGCTTGTGTGTGCTGAGACTCTCTTTACACAAGTGTTTACATATTTTCTTCACAGATTCTCATGGGATAGACTTTTTATTTCTCACAGGTGCAACCCATTTTTCTCACAAGGACAGATTGTTATGCAAAATGATTTTCATTCCTAGAATTCTTTCTCATGGGAACTGAACAGGCTAGTTGTTAATTCAGCTGAGGAAGGCCTGATTTTATAAGGCCTTCCTTTCTTTTAATGAGGCTTTACCTGTATGCAGCATAAACAAGAGTACCATATTCTTACACTATCCTCAACTATGTGGACTTCATTAGGACTGAAGCATTGGGCTTCTCGCTTTATTTTTAAATAAGGACATTAGATGCAGTTGTAGCTTGAGAAAAATCCTCAGTGAGTTTGTCAGATACTTCTGGCTTCCATTAGTGCCTAGAGGAATCTAAACCAGCAGCAATCTTACCCAACTTTGGCTTAGTATAGTCTGGGCATGAGCACTTATGCAGGATGCACTTTTGCTCCCTAGTAAGTACAAAATGTGGGTGGCAGCAGCAGTCAATGAAACAGTCTGATGGACAAAGGCTCTGTGGAGGGCTGCTACCTCAGGACAAGGAAATTGCAAACCTCAGGGGCAAAAAGGAAATAATGTGGACTGACTTTACTTTGTTATTTCAAAATTACTTATCCCTAAACATTTTGCTCTAAATAAAAGTCTGTTTTCAGGAATGCTGTTAGCAAGTTATGAGATCACTCAGTGAATACTAGAGAGACTTCAACAGCTAACGTGTCATGACTCTTCCTCAGAGGAACACAGTCCTGCTCCTTGTGACTGCAATGGGAGCAGGTACAGAGCATTCACAGTAGGGAGAAGCAATTACAGAAATAAGATTCACAAGAACATAAAACTGCATCCCATTTATGGTTTGAAGAGACTGCTGGGCTCTTCTGCACCAGGAACACAGCAGGTTGCAAGTTCTCACCTTCAAATCTTTTCATAAAAAATAAACCCATCATATTTCATCTTTTATTTTTTATTTTGCTTTGTATCTTTTACTCAGGTCCTAAGACAGACACTAAATAAGGAAATACAGTAGTTTGGTAGGCTGGCAGAGACTTTAAGTTCTTCACAACATCTGGACATCATCACCTCATCCTTTCACAGCTGTCATTTGCCATCAGCAGTTCAGAATACTTTCAGGCATTACAGTCCATTACCCACAATTTTGATTCATTACTGAGAATACTATTCCTGACAAATATCCCAAAACTCTTAAATTACAAACAGCTTGGGGAAGACTGCAGTTAGGGCAACTTAAGAAGCATATTGGATATTTTCATATATGCGTGATTTCTGAGCATGACTGAAAATCAAAGTTTTATTCCCACAGGAACTAAAATTTTCCCACACATAGTATCACTATGATAATAAAATCGCAAGGTTAAATCCCAGACTGCTTTAGTTCAGGACCTCAAGAATGAACATTCTGAGACAAACTAGAATTAGCTCACATGGGGAATTGAGAAAGGAGGCTGAACGAGGATTCAAGGATTTGGAAAATGAAGCCAAGATCACCTGACCCTAGTGTTGGTGATAATCCCACTTCAAACTGGAGCTAGACCAGCTTTAGCCTAACAGAGACACTTCACAAGCTCACATTATTCTATCAATTCCAACACGTTTTAACAGTTAAAACAGCCATAGGATAATAAAGACTAACATTAAATATGGGGCATTTGGAAAGCATTAACCCTCACAAATGCAGACCAAAATGCAAAGCTTAAACCATCCTCAATCTTACATATTGGTAACAAACTAGGGGGGAAAAAGAAAAAAATCAAACATGCTACTCAAAATCATCCCAATAGTAAGCAAAGGACAAGCATTCCAATGTTAAGCAAAGGACAAGAAAATTCAATCACAATTAAATTCCTTTATTAATATCAACTCATCTTTAATCAGTACTTCAACTCCATTTTTATTCCAGCAATGATTACAACAAAATGAAGACATACTTTTAGTTCAGAGAAGTTTAATTAACTGATCTTGGATATGATGCAGCTAAGAAGTCTGAACAAAGAGAACTGAGGAGGCTTTAATGCACATCAGCTTGTAGGAAACATAACAACACAGCATGTGCTATGTGGGATCCAAACACTCCATCTTAAAAACAGCAAAGCAAGGAGTTAAGCAGTTCTTGCAGGAGGAAATAAAAAGCCACATGTGCTAAGGAAATCAATGCACTAGCCTGTTAACCCAGTAGATCTTAATGAATTACAATTGTGTCTGAGAATGAGCAAGGCAGACTGTAAATTAAAAGTTAAGGACAAAGTTCCTCTAACAAACCTTAGAACAAATTTCAGATGGATTTAGTATTTAACTTACTATCCTGGACACATCTATAGCTCAGAGTCCCACCTTCACCTGTTTCTCACATCCATCTATGAAAACCCTTTGCTAATGAAAGCAAGGATACTGGTGTAAAATTAAAGTGAATATAGAAATAAATGAACTATAAATACTGAACAGAATTTTAGAGTTTACCATTTAGAGACTGTTTAAAAAATATATATATATTTCTGAAAGTCAGTTATTCAGACTTCCTGAGGAACACAACAGCCTGCCTGCCTGCCTGCCTTTCTGAAGCTTACAGTAGTACCTGTGCTTAGGAAAACATTAATCAGGAAGTTGCTTTCTCACTCCATCTGTCCACTGACTTCTTTTTTGTGTACTCACAAAATCCTTTAACCAGTGAATCAAAAGACATCCTAACATGTTTGGGTACACAAAACACCACCTAACTAAAACTGCAGTATCAATGTCCTTGAGAAGCAAAATAACAAAGATTAAAAGGACTAACCATACAACACACAGAAAGGACAACTGGCAAGACTTTACAGATCTGCTGCTTAGGACACGGGAACAAACAGGTTAAAAAAGCCAGCAGTCCTCACTGCAAGCTCCTCTGAGATTACTAGAGGGACTTGCACACAACCATTTATTGCTTCATGGCACCACACTTGTAGCTTTGTCACAAAGATTTCCACTGGTTTAGATTAATTTGTACACCTCCTTCAGATCAGCAGTTAAGCTAATGCAACACCTTGTGTGGACACCTGTATTGCCTCAGAGCAGAATTTTTCTTGTAGTAGTTTAAATGTGTTGATTTAATCAAATAAACATTTAGCTGTTTTCCAATTTTGTGATCCATGACTTCTCCACAACACCTCCAAAATTTGCTAGGAGGAAAATCAACAAGTTTGAGGACAATCAAGCTTTACAGATTGCACTCCTATACAAACGGTCCTCTTCCATTGCTGGAAGCTACTATTATCAAAACCAAGTATATTTCCAAACATAGCCCCTTCTCTCCAGTGAAACCAGCTCATTTTTTAAGTCTCTATCCTGTCCCAAGAAAAGTGACCAGAAATTTCATAAAAGCTTCACAGATCAGATTCAGCATATAATCACTGAATGAAAAGTGCTTATTTTAGAACAGAAAAATACCATACTTCTCTATAAGGAATATTAATATAGCACTACATAGAAAATCACTGACAAGGGATCTAAACACTGTAATTTATTCAACACTGCAAATTAAAGAGAACATATTTGAGATCTCTGTATGAAAATCATCACCCTAGTGAAGACAAACATTACAGCTAGATGTAATTTCACATTTTTTGAAAGCAATTATACTGTTTACTTCTCCTGAAGTCCAAATTAAAAAAAATCATAATTTCTTCAGCTATGTATTTATCCAGCCCCTATTGGGATTTAAATACAGCATCTCCATTAAGTCAGTGCTACTGAGAATGCTTTAATCAAGTTTAGTGTGATGCACATGCTCCTTCACCAACACCAGATTCTTTTTTAGGTTCTACTGGATTTGTTTGTTCCTCTTCTTTCAGCTTCACTTCTCTGAAGTCCTCCCTGACTTCTTCTAACAGACCTGGCTTGAAAATGACATCCAGTGCTGTCATTGCCAAAGCCTTTGCTGTGCGCAGGGCGTAGAACTGAGCAGTCTGTGACCCTGCAGAAAAAAATATAAGGGGAATTTCAGGTTAGGTTACCAATATTAAACCACTTGCTTGCTGCACAAGGGACATTTTATAAAGTAAAATTACAAGTTTCAGCTGCAAGAACATTTTCTTAAAAATCTACTTGCATGAAGTAAACCTATTTTCCCATGCCTCAAAACATTTTTTTCTTTTGCAATTACTTAATTTTCTGCTACTGACATAAACAATTAAGACTGAGAACAGGAAAGTTGAGTGTTCACATTATGCTCTTCAGAAAATGTGGAATTTTATAAGCTAGCACTGCTACATTTCCTCTATTTTAGGAGTAAAGATGACTTCTCTTTCAGCTCATGTTTAGAAATTCTTCCAAATATGTTGTTATAGATAATACTTCTAATTTCTTTTTAATCTTTTAGTATGAGGAGTGGTTACCCTACCCATATACATATAACCTCAAACACAAACCAAGAAATTTTACATTTGTTAGCTTTTTCTGCAACTCTACAATTCATGTTGTTGCAGATATCTTTTTATGAAAATCCTTTCTTAGGATTTTTTCTTCCTGAGAAGCTGAGAGGCTCCAGGAACAAAATGTAAACAGTGGTTAACTGCTGCTGTGGAATGCAACAGGTGCATCTGTGATTGGTCTCGTGTGGATGTTTGGATTTAGTGACCAGGCACAGCAGAGCTGGCTCTCTGTCTCTGTCTGAGCCAGCTGCCTTTGTTATCATTCAGTCCGTTCTGTTCTATTCTTAGCTTAGCTAGCCCTCTGAGATGAAACTTTTCCTTCTATTCTTTAGTATAGTCTTAATATATATCATAAAATAATAAATCAAGCCTTCTGAACATGGAGTTAACATTTTCGTCTCTTCCCTCATCCTGAAAACCCCTGTGACCACTGTCACATCATGTTAATTGTTTTCACTTCCACTCACCTGCAGCTTCTGTGTACTGCTCAGTATGATTCAATGCATCAGAGCCAATATAAAAATAAGGATGAATCCCAGGGACCACAAATGTAACATTTCCAAAGTCTGTGGAACCTAGAAGCAGCACAGAGATTTTCTTAACAAAAAAGTGTTGGGCAGTTTTGAATGCTGTAAGAAAATGCATGATAGACATTCTCTTCAGCCCATATCTAAAATGGAATATCCTTTGCCCCAAATACTAAAATAAGAACATTTCTAATGAGCCATTATCCATACAAATATATCCTGTCACCAAGGTGATTTTCCCTAACTAGCATCTTCAGGTGCTGCTCTCCAGTGCACTTCTGATCAATGACCACTTACTGGACTGCAAGGAAGATGTATCAGCATGTTCTTATTCCTTTTACTGCTCATTTTTATCAAGCATCTCCTGACAGTAAGCTGTTAATTCAGAAACAGGAAAGCTGCAAACCTGGGGAGTCAGGCATTTCAGCTATTTCCTGTCGCAGACATATTTTTATGAGAAAATCCTTTCTTAGGATTTTTTCTTCCTGAGAAGCTGAGAGGCTCCAGGAACAAAACATAAACAATGGTTATCTGCTGCTGTGGAATGCAACAGGTGCATCTGTGACATCTGTGATTGGTCTCGTGTGGATGTTTGGATTTAGTGACCAGTCACAGCAGAGCTGGCTCTCTGTCTCTGTCTGAGCCAGCTGCCTTTGTTATCATTCAGTCTATTCTATTCTTAGCTTAGCTAGCCTTCTGAGATGAAACTTTTCCTTCTGTTCTTTAGTATAGTTCTAATGTAATATATATCATAAAATAATAAATCAAGCCTTCTGAAATATGTAGTCAGATCTACGTCTCTTCCCTCATCCTGAAAACCCCTGTGACCACTGTCACAATTTCCCTGTTAGAGCCCTTCAGAACTAGGCCAAACAATTCCTGCTTCTCACCAATATGCAAATATTCAGCATTCTGTAGGAGACTAAAGTAGAAACTATTTATCTTTAAACAAAAACAGATCGAGGGTAACTGTTTTTACCCCATGTGTTTTGATTATTCTCAGTTATGGAATTCTCAGTTATGGAAATCTCAACAGCACAAGCACCCTTGAAATAAAATCAGAACTCAACTCCAGATAGAATTCTAGGGCTTTGTAGACAAACACCTGATAACAATGTTGCAGATTTCAATGATGATTCTTTCATGCCTGTCACTTTCAGGATGTTATCTAGTACCTATCTCACAGCCTTATCTACTGAATGGTATCATCCCAAAGTAGAAGATTCTTTACAGTAAATCATCCAAGAGTCTACAATTACATCCCAAGTGGTTTTGGTTTTATTCTTGTTTTATTTTTTTTCCCCAAACAAGCAACCCACTCATTATTTGTTAAAATGACATTTCAAAGCTGGAGAAATCAATGTACCACTTATTGTGAAATCCAGGTACCAGAAGAACCATTGTTTTTTATCAGGGAAAAATAGGGATGACCCACCAAGATCCCAATTAACTTTTTTGGGGCCAGAGATGGAAGAATTTGTTTCTTTAGCAATGGCGTATGAAATTTAACACATTGAGTAGCCTCTATATTTGTGATACTTTATGAAAAGAAGTTATTGCTAGTGCCTTAAGATTTAGTAATTAAATAATGGAAAAACACAGACTTTACTTGGAAGCCTATAGTTATTGAAAGTGAGTCCACAGAGCCTACATTATGAGGACAAGAGTTTGCTTACAGATAAGGGAAACAGCAAAGCTTGTTCAAAAGCATCTCTTCCCATAAATTCAGGATGCATTTGAAGAAAATCCAACTCTTGGCACAGCAATAAGTCATTTTGATTTCCAGTAGTCTGCACTACTGATTCCTTCTTTGGTCAATCTGGACAGACAAACCAGAAGTTCTGCACACTCCAGACTAAACCAAGGGTTCTAGACCTGCCTTACTAAGTCCCAATACAAACTGCTGCAAAGACTATGCTGCACTTTTCCCTACTTCCACTTAGCAAATGAAACATTAGAAATTCCACTGCATCGTAGCTCTCAGTCATGTCATTCATCCTAAATTGATATCCATATTCAATGTGCTACACGACATGTTATTTTTGCTGAGTAGAAGACATTTAAATTGGGTATTTACTAGAAACATGGAGAGGAAAAATCCAGGCAGCTTTTAATAAAAATCTAACAGCTAAATCTTCCCCTCTATCAGACAAAATGTTACACCCTTTATGGGAATAACATAGAGGTATGTTTAGAACATCAGGTGTTCTAGTAATTTCCATAAAAACGCCTGAAACTGTGTGCTTGCTAGACACATATTGATTGGGATTCTTTCTGGAAGCATAAGTAATTGCAGTTACCAATGCAATATACATAATCCAGTGCTACCTTCAACAGAGAGATACTGGAGTTCCAGCCTCTCAAAAATATATCCTGAAGCCTCTTCAAGTCACTGCATATTTAACGGAGTCAGTATTACCACAAACATGAACAGAGGGGAAAACACAAAAGATTACAGGAAATAATTATATACAGTCCCAAGGTTCAAAAGTGGAATTCTCAAATATACTAGACCTTCTTAAGATCTTCTTTATCAGTTTTGTGCACAGGAAGCCAATGAACACCATGAATACTACATTTTGACTAGATTAAGTTATCACAGGTGTGGGTGCCTCAACTAAGCCATGTGTAACTAAGCCATCTGCTTTAGGAAGTTATGGATAAATTTCCTGTAGTAAAGTCCTGTGAACAGTAGGAGGAGAAACAGGTCCTGGCACCTGGTCCAAGCTAGCTCAGTCTCACATGATGTCACACCCCCTGGCTGTGTGCCCAGCAAGCAGAGCCTGTGATCTGAGGTGCTCAGGGAAGCCCTGGTGATGCTTATCTGCCTAGAGTGATACCTGGGAGCAGAGCCACACTAATGCCCATGCAGAGGTGGCAGCGAGTGCGCTCAGCTCTGAACGACTGTTCTGCTGCACAGACATGGAGAAGCAACTGAGCTATCTTCCTCCCCTTTCAACAGAAGAAACTGACAGCCTAAAAGAAAACATTGAAAACCACATGAAAACTAAACAGAAATAGAGGTCTTGAAAAAGATGACACAAAATACTCAATTCCCCCCCCAGAAAAGGGTAGCATACAAAATTTCACTCCTATGGCTCTGGAGACTGTGCTTTGTTATCTCTCCTGAATTCCCACTGCAAAAATTCAGAGGAGAAGCTGTGGAAAGAAAATTCAGCAAACCCTACTAGAGTGTGAGATAAAAAAAGCAATTGCTGAAGCACATTTTGACATTTGACACGCAATTCAAGGACAGGACAGCCATACAGAGAGTTTTGGTTTAAGCAAGTTAATGGTTAACATTGAGCATATCATATAACTTACATATGAAAGCCCTATTGCAGCTGGGTGTCTGTGAAAAGTTCACTTCAAGACCTCTGAACAAAAGCAAAATCACTGATATACATGATCATCAATGGTTTGAAGGAACCAACTAGCAGTGTTCCAGAAAGTTGCACTATAGTGAACATTTTAAGGTTCCTCAGCCTCCTTCTTTGGCTAAACAAGCAAAGCAGTAAATCTTATTTGTATTGAAGAAAGTAGGAAGAAATCTGTCTTAACTTATAATTTGTTTTTAAACACAAGACAATGAACCACTGTTTAATATGAAAGGGAAGTAAGAAACAGAAAAAAATCCCATCACCATTAAATACCAAGAATTTCATTAGATACAATGTCTCCCCTACCCACAAAAAGAAATTTGGAGAGCTACTCCTAAACACCAAATCTGTCCAAATTCCAAAGATAATCTGCATTTAATAAGGAGACGACAAGTACCACAATCAAATTAATTAAAATAACTTATTACTGAGAACAGTATCTTCCTTCTAAGATGGAGTAAAAATGTTCATAAATACAGTTAAAATCAGTAGTGAAGGCTCAAAGTATGAGCAGCAGTTGAGACTTGAACAGAGCTCCTGTAGGAAGATTCTGAAAAAGAAAGTGTTAAGGATAACAAGAAACCCACTTAAGCATTCAAGAATTCCCATTGCTGTTACAGCTCAGAGACTAAAAAAGTTAAATTGTTTAAGACATAGTCAAGACCCAAAAGTGAACACCTACTTGAAGAGCACCCTTTGGAAAATTAATTTGTTGAACTCATGAACTAAAATTAGGGGCATGTAATTACTTGTTAATGAAAAGATTAAATTAGAGTTAGTGAGATACTTAAACTTCAAGTTATAAATCTCTCCAAAAATTCCCTCTAAAATAATTGCTAGATTCTAGTATATTTGTTTATATGTAAGCTTGGAAAATATTATTAAACAAGATTCCTAAAAACAAAGTCTCATCCCCATTCATAGCAGACCAGGATTCTGTATTTTAAAGCCACAGAATGAGAGACAATTCATTACAATCCTCGTGTTCTCAGAAAGACAGCTCTTAGCTTTCCATCCCTTCCCCCAACCAAATTGCTAATTTCTTTGAATATTTTCAGAACTATTATAAGAAGGTGTTTACTGCTTTTCTTGCCTGTTCTTAGCTTCTACAACAAATACAGAAACACAGGCCAGAGATATAAACCTTCTACGGAGCTTTAGCTTTGTAATTTGGCTTTTTCTTCTGTGTTTAACTTAGCTCTAATTTGTTATTTTATACACTTGAAGCTTGATCAACCTAAGCTTAAGATACAATGAAAAATGCAGCTGGAGTTACCTGACAAACCATTCAAGATAGCATCTTCTGATATAAAATCTATTCCAAGCTTCTTTCCATTCTCCTTGTAAATTTTCTGCAGGCTCTTATTTGGAAGCACATTGTAGTAATCATTTTCACCACCTTTTATTTCCACCTAGACAAAAACCCCAAATCACTGTAAGTTTTTCTCCAGTGTAAGCCAGCTCAATGCAAACAATCTGAAGGCCAAAAAAAACCCCTACATATCCAGACTTCAAGCCCAAGGCAAAACAGACGTAAGCGCTAAGTTTATTTCAAAAATACAACATTCTGCCAAATATTACCCTCCATCAAAACACAGCTGATGTTCTGTTCAGTTTGCACTAGACAGCCAAATTCCAGAAGAAAGGATTCCAAAATTTTCTCCAAAAACAGGAAAAAAATGTTTCCTGTAACAGTGTCTAATGATTTTGCCTGCAGGTACTACTAAACTACACAGAAGTAAACATAGGCTTTTATCAAAGTGCATGTTACCTTTTTTCAGAATGTTTCCAATAAGTACAGCCCCATTCATGATATGGCTTCATACAGGTAAGAAATTTGAAAACAAATTGAAAAAAAAAAATCTATCAATGTCAAATTTCAAAAGAGGTCTTAACTTTCATTCTGCATAAAGTGCACTTTCTAAACCTCTTTTCTAGATATAGTGAAGGGGACACGGTAGGATAACAACATCTAATGTCTCAAGAAGACTATAAAAGTGGCATTCACATACCCCATATCTATTTGTTTTGATGATCACAAACATTCTTTTTACAGCTGAATTAGTCATAAGCTTGTAATTAACAGAGCCAAGTAGAACAATCTATCTTAGCAACATAAAAAGGTAATCATATTGCTTGAACCAGCTAGATGAGACACACTTCCATTTACTAAAAGCAAAACAAATGAGAATGCTAATTGAAAAAACACTCAGTTGCTACATGAGCCTGCTGTTTAATGGGGCAGTGGACCTAATGACCAAGAATATGGGAAAAAAACAGACAGAAGACCCAATACCTGTTTTGCTTGTTTCTACAGGTGAGGTTTGCCATCAAGCCTCCCAGGTCTCTGAGCCTAGCAGCACTATCTGTAGGATAGAAGCATCACCCACAGCAAAACAAAAAGAAATTACAGGACACTTAAAGAAATTGAATGTACATGGGATCAGGCAGGACGCACCCAAGGATGCAGAGTAAGAGAAGCAGAAATGCAGTCTGGGAGTCATTATTTTTTTAGTGTTACTGAAACAGAGGGATGTTCCATCTCACTGAACAACACCTAAAGGTCACATCCTCTTGAAGGACCAAAAGGAGGTCCTTGAAAACTACACACTCCTCAGACCATCCTAGCCTCAAGTTCCCAGAGGGGTTACAGAGCAAATAAATCCTCCTAGAACTCATGCCCAGGCTCAAGAATCACAAGGTGATTGTGAACATCCACCACTCAAGATGGAACTCATTTAAGAGCAGATAGTGCATGACCAAGCCTAGCTTTACATGACAACATGACTGGCTCAGATGACACAAGACATGCAAGCTCCAAGTGCTTTATAATCAGCAGCACAAAATACCACATTGCTGCCTGTTACTTGTAGCACTCATCTACAACTGAGACTGGTGCCATTAATATTTTAGTATTTTTATTACTGATGGAGACAACCCCTGTGACACCACAGCAGGTGCTGTGCTCATTTGGTTTCTCCTCAAATCAAGACTGGAGCAAGGCCAGGGGAAGGCCACCAAGATGATGGGGTGGAGAACACAATGTACAAGGACAGGCTGAAAGAACTTGATCTGCTGAGCCTTCACAGAACAGAAGGTTAGTGGGGCATCTTACTGCTGTCTAGAGTTACCAGATGGGAAGGGTACAGGGAAGGCAGAACCAGACTTCTCAGATGTCAAAGTGATGCAAACAAGAAGCAGCAAAGGAAATCCTGTTGGATACAACAGAATCTTTTCCACAACAGATGTGGAAAAGTACCTCTGGAGGTCATCTCATCCAGTTCCCCTGTTCAATCAGGGTCACTTAGAGCTGGTTTCCCAGAACCATACTGAGGCAGCTTTTGAGTATCTCCAAAGATGGAAACACAAAAACCTCTGCAGGAAACCTGTGTCAGTGCTCAAGTCATTGCAGCATAAACATTAGGAAAACCCTTGCTCACCACGAGGTGTGTAGAGCACTTTTTGAGAGAGGTGGTAGAATTTCATCCTTGGAAGTATTCAAAAGTTCACATGGCACTCAGCAACCTGCTCTAACTGGTCTTGCTCTGAATGGAGAATTAGACCAGATGACCTCCAGAGGTCTCTCCCAACACATATTCCTCTAGGATTCTGTGGCATTCTATTTATAAACTGAAGCTTTCTTTCAGGACACAAAGCAACAGAACAGCAAAAAGTGTAACAGTAATTTAGATTTACTTCAGTTAAACACTATGCAGACAAATAAAGTAAACACTGATTTCCTGTTCTGGTCTGTCTAACAGAAACACATGACAATGAATATGTTCTTACCTTGCATCCTGTGGCCACTGCTGCAGATTTGAAGCAGTTTTCAACCTTCTCTGTCAGAACAGAAAGCTCTTTCCTTGAAGGAGCACGCAAGTAAAACTCTAGTTCAGTGTAAGAAGGAATGATGTTAGGTTTCACACCACCATTTTTTATTACACCTGCAGAAAGGGAAAAGTTGTGTTTTCAGTATTAAATGTAATTGTTTGATCTTCAGCCCTGTCATTAAATTCCCGGGTCAAGAACTAAAAATATATAAACAAAAACAACAAAATGTCAGCTGAACATGAAATACAAAGAATGTAAAAAATGCAGTATGTGGACAAAGTTTCTTCATCATGTCAGATTACATGTGGAACATGTACATGTCTTTCAGCACAATTTCACAGCATTCTTTGGTTAGACATCTGTTTTACATCCCAGAGTCAAGCCAAACTAGCATTTCTAATTAATTCCCTAAAATTCAATGCATTGGAGTCATAAAGCAATCTGTCTGCCAACAGGGAAAAAAAACTGCTATAAGGGATAACTTGGATTCCAACTTTCAAATGTTTCCTCAATTAGAATGTTTCCAACTTATTTTGTGATCTTGAAGAAAATCTGAACAAGCTTCTCAGCAATCCTGGAAAATGTATGTATTGCAGTGCACAGAAAGTTAATTTAGATTGCTCATTTTAATTCTTCAGAAATATTGGAATGTATAATACATGTAGCTTTAGTCACAAGGGCAGTTTGAGCTGAAAGTGCTCCCTCGAGGGAATGTGTGACCAACTACATCTTTTACCATTATGGCATCAAAGGCATTTCCATAAAATACAGTAATATTTGGATATTTTGACAAGAACACATCATAAATCCCAGTTTCACATTAGATGTAACTGCACAGACAGCTAGTTCTTTCCAACAGGGTGTTTCCCTGGCCTTCTACCCTCAATTTCTTTTATGTGGAATTAGATTTGTTTTCTGTAGAACCTGAGAAACTTCTACCTTAAATAGAAATATTGCAGAAGTTACTGATGTGTGTCACTGAGGCCTGAAGACACAGCACTAGTTTGTTGTAAACAGACAACAAAATATTTCTTTTGGTGCAGAAAACCCATTAAGATTATGAACTTTGCCTCCAGTCTCAAATACAGTCCAAATAAAAAACAGTGTTAAATTAAACCAGTATCAGTATTTGTCCATAACAATAGGAACAGCTCAGATGAGAGGGACAGACATCACAGGAAAGGAAGCAGTAAGTATTCATGCAAATTTGCATGACACATACCCACAGAAGCTTTCTCAGAACAAGCAGCTTCATGAGTAAACAGTTTTCACTTGTCTTGTCCAGCACAATTGTAAGTGGGACTGGAGAGAGTCTGAATAAGTCTACAGTTAAATTTCAATACAACTGCAATATGGACTGGACAGCAGACCTGAATTACAAGTAGGCTGCCTGCACACTGTTGTAGCACCCAATTTGCCCTTCTGGATGGAAATTTTTTTTTACAACCTGTTTAATACAACTTCTTGAACAGGAAAAAAAAATCTACATTCCCATTTTTGAGGGGGCAACATATACTGCACTCATAAGCAGGGAAGAAAGATCGTATCAAAATCTCAGATGAACTCACGACAACGATATTTCAGTACATGAAACATTGGTTAGAAATTCTAGACTTCAAGCAATGGAAATTATTTCAGTTTTTGTCAGTGGGGTAACACTACTATTTTTAAGATCATGTAATTCAGCCACTGATCATACAGAAAGTCTACAACATGAGGTCTTCTACCCAATGTTGTAAAGAAAGCATTCGTAAAATTCAATCTTACTCTGGTTGCTTGTCCTTTCCCAGAAGTAATTTAAATACTTCCACTTTGAAAAACCAGGTTTATGGCAGCAGTTGTATTAACGCAGTAATTTCAGTTTTGCTACTGTTCAGGAAGCATTACCTTAGAAGGCCATACAGTTTACTTAGATTTTTTGCCAACATTACCCATATAACCTTTAGAAACTACAAAGAAAGTAGTATTTAGGGGTTCAGGCTTAGATTCAACAGAAAACTTAGGCATCTTCAGCCTTAAACCTGCAACACATGGGTTGCAGACACCAAAACTCTTAATTACATGCCTTGTTTTCTACAGAGAAATAGGATAGAGAGGCTGTGCCTGCTGTCTGAAATTCATTTGGGCATGCTGCACAGCAGAACTGCAAATAGCTTCATCTACAGTCAAAAGGATTAGGACTCCATCCAGATATCCTGGACAGAAATGCACACTTGTAGTATATACAGCATAAGCAGCCAAGATACATAATGATCAGCTCAGAACATCTGGAAGGATTTTTAGCTCATAACAAATATTTCAAATAAACAGCTCTACATTCAGAAGTCCTGTAGAATTGGCAAAGTTTCTTAATTTCAACTTGGCAAAAGTTGTGCTGGGTGCAATAAGGAACCCTGGGTTTATAGCTATAGGGCAGCTTCACCTCACCTTTTGAACCTTTCTCACTGTACAGGTAGAAATGCACAATGTTCAAGGAGGACAAATCAAGCTTAATGGTTAACACATCTTTCTGCAAAATGGCCTTTCTAATCCAAAACCTACAAGATATTAAATATAAGAATACTGGGAACATCTAGTTGATTGGGCTACTAACCAAGGACTATGATCTTCTGCCATCACTTGTTTTTTGTACTTCACCAAATAAATTTCATTCCAGACCACTAGACCCTTAAAATAAATGCTATCTAATTAATGGAATGTCTACTCAAAAAGTGATGCAGTAAGTAATACTTCACTTTTTGGAAGTATTTCATCTTATACCTTTGCAAATCCACACATATTAAGGAGTTCAAGGCCATGTACCAAAATAAACTTTGCACTTTTTTCTTTCTTTTTTCCTGAACTGCAGCTTCAAGACTTAAAATTGATCTAACCTTTACCTAGGCATTGGAGTCCCCTTTCAAATCTGACCTCTCAGACTATTTTGAGCAGTTAGTCCTGGACACTGACATGATTGTTAAAAATTGCAGACACACCATTTAAATGAAATGGTGCTGTTTCATAATATGAAGTGACTAAACTAATTTAGTGCTTTAGTACAATACTTTGGAATGTGTGATATTCTATATTAGTACTTCAGCAGCCTAAACTCTAACTTGCTGGATATTAGTTTTAAGAAAGATCTCACCATGAACTCTCCAGGTTGGTTTCATCTGCTGTCTTAAAACAGACAGATTGTTGTAGGCAAGAACAGCAGCATCTAATGCATTAACTCCTTCCCAAGGATAAGCAGCAGCATGAGAAGCTTTTCCATAGTATTTCACAGTCACACTAGGAAATAAAAAGCATTGCTTATTTGTTTCTCATTCACTGAAAAAAAAAAAATCTTTGAAATGAAAAACATCCTTTTTTTCCCACAAATATGTTATTTAAATTTTGGTCAGCGTAACACCAAACAATTTACCTGGCACTAGACTGTTGCATAGATAAACTATCTTTGAGTGCAAAAAAAACAATGAAAGACTTCTAGAAAACCAGCAAAATGGAATGATACCAAGAGCCAGTCAGGCAAGGGAGTTACTGGCAACATCATTATATAGCCTTTTCCTGAAGAGTACACATTTCACATGTTAATAAAATTTCTCCACTGTTTTTTTAATACTGCCTGACTTCTGAGACTTAAAGTTAAAAACACTCTTCTCAGAGGATAACAAACCCTTTTCTCTGATTCAAAATTGGAAGTTGAGTGTCCTAATTCTTGTCAAACAAACTGTGTACAGTACGTAAGATAGCAAAAGCACGTAAGACCACATGTAACCCCTGTCTAAATAGCAAAAGTGAAGTTTTATGAGTATGGAAAAGCACAGCCTATTGTAAAATACACATTATTATGCTACAGCAATGATGTTCTCTTGCACCCTTCTAAAAAGGTGGTAGAAAGGCTTGCAACAAGGAGGAAATCTAATGCAAAGGCAACCCTCAACTTCACAGAGTCATAAAATATTGCACCTTAACATATCCAGTAAAAATTAATGCTAATATCAGCCTTACAAAATAACTTAGTATTTTAGACTGTTTATGAGAACTGTTTACAAAAGAGGAAAACATTAAATACTGACATCTCATATGAGGTCTCACTATTTATAAAACACACAAAACAATCTGTACTCCATATCCACTCCTTTATAGAAAAAACTCAATCTTCAAGTGTTCGCCCCACCCCAAGACACACAATCTGTCTCTTATCCAGCCATCACCAGCCTAACTTGCTTGTCCCTCTGTCTTGCACAAATGCCAACTCAACCAGTTATCCTGAAGTGACCCCTTGTGCTCAGAACCATGCCACAGCTGCAAGTTAACACCAGCACTTACATTCTGGAAGGAAAAGAGGGACACAATGCAGTGTACTGTTGCAACAGGAAACATCTCTTACTACTCCTGCAATCCAAATTAGGCTTGCCTTTTTCTATCCCCACTGATCTTCCAAGACAATCACAGAACCCATTCTTTAGACTAGGAGTTTTATTCAAAATTTGTTATCATTAAGAAATGTAAGAAACTTGTCCATTAATATCCCAAGTATTAAACTGCAACCCCTCAAATCAACTCACAAAGATCCCTGGACATTCTCAAAAAAATAGAAACAAGGCAAAGTACAGCAAAAAAGTCATGCTGCAGTATTCTCTTCAAGAAGGAACATGTGTTTCTTATTAAAAAAAGTTCTTTCAGCATTCCTTTACTTGTACTTCTTTTGCTACACAAATGTCACAGACACTCAGAAAAACCCAGATTTTGCAGAATAATAACACCCTAAGCCAGTTTAAGAATACCAGCAGAAGAATGTGGATCTTGTTTGTCCAATAATAAATAGGCTGATTAAGTGAAAGGTAATTGAGTAAGAATCAGCAAACTTTGGCATGTATCCACCAGTTATCCCAATGTTAATCTTATTTCAGGCACAAGCCAGTTTTCAGAATTGCAGACACAGAAATACTAGCAACTTAGTAATCACCAGTCCTCAAACTCCCGGCAAACAACCAAAGACCAATTAAAATTAGAAAAGCTGTCTTTCTACCTTTGAAACCTCATAATTACATAAAATATGACAAACTCAGTATTTCAAGCTTTTGGAGGTAATAAGTTGTTTCACTCAGCACTTCCAATTCATGCCTCGTCCACATTCAAAAGTTTAAAGGCTATCTAGGACTTGCATCCTATTGCAGACCCTGACCTCTGAAGAGAGATTTCCTAATCTTATTGTATCAAACTCAAAAGGTTATTGCAAGCAGAAAGACAAAACTATCATTGAAAACTACATCTTGAAGATTATAATATAGTCTTAAGGTAAAGCAAAGGCAAGTTGGGCTAAGTCTTGAAGGAGGGTACAACAACCAGTTAAGACTCTTTAGAAACACGAGGAAGGAAAGTAGCAGAGAACTGGCCAGGTGATGAAAACTAACCCTGTTTTACCATGTAACTTGGCATTTACCAAAGTAAATTATCCACTGGAAACAACCCTGGTAAAAGCAAAATGGTCAGTAAAATCAAGCATATCAGAGCTAGACAATAGCACAACCAATCTGAAAAGAGTTTCCAGTACAAGTCATAAATGACTGGAAAATTACTTATTTAAATAATTCAGAATTTAGTCTGAAACAGTCAAATGTAATACTTGTAAAAGCTTTTGCACTGGAGGGAGTTTACTAGTGGAGTTTCTGCAAGGTAAGACCCTCTGGGATCAGGAATCACATAATAGAAGAATGTGACATAAAACATAGGAAAAAAAACTGCTGGCAGACTACTGCTGGGACACTGTGGAAACAGACATTTACAACACCAAAGGAAGAACAGCATGGCCTTGCAGACTGGCAGAGCAAGAAAAGAATGAAGCTCCAAAGCACTTTTTTAAAATCATGTACTTAAAAGACCAAGCATTTGCCTAGGAGTTGATTGCTTGAAAATGACTGAAGAGGAAGTCTCAAACATGCCACCTGTCTCCAAAATTTTAAGGAAACACTATGGTCCCTGCAGCAGCTGAATAAGATCTAAGGCAATGTACCTTGTGTAGAGTGTACAATTTTGGGGATGCACATCCAGCAAGGTGTACTTTAAGGCCAGTCAAGTGACTCAAAGGACAAGTGAGCCAGTGCTGTCTCTGAACATCAGGGCTAGTCAGAAGAAGACAAAGTGTAATTTTCAAAGACTTATGTGGCTGACAGAAAAGGCAGCTGTGTGAGGTTAGGACTGTTGTCCATCCTTACACTGGGGGCAAACATGAAGGAAAGACTACTATGGATCAAAACCAAAAAGTTGATGTGAGAGTTAATACACACAACATGGCTCTGACTAAATTTAGTGTGGAAGTTACTACAGATCCAAACTTAAGTCAGGCTTAGCTGGCCAGTTATTTTCAAAAGGAGGAAGGCAAACCTGAAACACCTTCCAAACTGATTAAAAATCCATAGAGGACCACATGACTGGCATCCAGAAAAGCATAAAACAATGACCCTTGAGATCCTGCAGTTGTATCTTTAAACTCTGCTTCAACAGACGGCATCATCACAAGAATGCTTAAAAGAAATGCCTAGAAACATCACAACAAAAGATGGATTTTTGGGATGCATGGAAGATTATCTCAGATCAGTCAGGGATTTGAGCACTGAGCTCAAATTTAGGCTCAACACAGCTCTTTAAAAGAATGGCTCCGGGTGCCATTCCCTAACACTAACCTGGCTCCTTAGATGAGAGCAAACACTTTTGTCTGATGGGCACCTGCAAGGCTCCGGGTTCAGCCACTGCTAAAGGGGCTTTTTGTCCCTTCTCAGGAAGGGGACAAAAAGCTAATAACAAACCATGTCTTTCCACCTGAACCCACCCACTCACTCATGCTCGGCCACGTCGGGCAGGTAAGCAGCGTTTTCTTGCGACGGGTGCGCCATGAAAACCACATCCAGGCCATCGAACGCTCCAGCCTTGATGAGGTCTATTTTGCCTCCTCCTTGCTCTTCCGCGGGGGTCCCCAGCACCGTGATCTGCAGCACAAACGCACGGAGAGAGTCAGGGGCTGTCAGGGAGCGCCCACCACCGCTCCCCCGGGAGGGCTCGCACCTGCACGGCCACGGGCTCCGCCAGGCTCTCCAGGGCGGCCTTGAGCGCCAGCGCGGCGGCGGCTCCCACCTCGGCGATGAGGTTGTGGCCGCAGGCGTGCCCCAGCCCGGGCAGCGCGTCGTACTCGCAGAGGAAGGCGAGGCGGAGCGGGTCCTGCGGGGCCGCCGTGCCCCAGTCGGCGCGGAAAGCGGTGCCCAGCTTGTAGCGCGGCTGCACGGCCCAGGCGGCGCCGGGCAGGTCCCCGCCGGAGAAGAAGCGGGTCAGGGCATCGTGCGCCTGGTGCTCCGCGTACGCCAGCTCGGGACGGCTCCAGATGTCGCGGCTCAGCGCGCCCAGACGCGCAGCGTTCAGATCCACACTCTCGCACGCCCACTGCTTCAGCGCCTCCAGCGCGGCGGCGGGGCCGCTCTCCGGCGGCTCTTGCGGCTTCATGAGGCCTCGGGAGCACTGATCCTCAGCTGAGCCGAACCAGGGGCCCGCACCTGCCCTCCGGCGAGACACCTGCGCTGTTCCCCCTTTTATCGCCTCTTTTCGCCGCGAGGCACGGTGGGAAGTGTAGTTCCTAATCACGGCCTGACCTACAGGCGGCGCCCAGCCGGAACTCCCCGCCCCAGCGTGCCTGGCGCGTCCCTCAGCCAGCCGGCGGAGGTTCGGGGGTCCGCCCGCAGCCCCTGCCGGCTGCGCTGCTGGGGCTGCTCGCTGCCTCCCTCAGCCGCGGGATCGCGGGGGAAATCGGAAGGGTAAAGGTAGGAAACTCACAGGTTGAAGTAAAGACAGTACCATAGGGAAAGCAAAAGCCGCGCACCCAAGCAAAGCAAGGAATGAATTCCCTGCTTCCCATGGGCAGGCGGGTGCTCAGCCTTCCCCAGGAGAGCAGGGCTCCATCACACTTCGCAGTGATTTAACAGCACAAACGCCATCGCTGCAAACGTCCTCCCCTTCCTCCTTCCTCCCCTGCCTTATATACCGAGCGTGATGTTCCATGGTCTGGAATGTCCCTTTGGTCAGCTGGGGTCACCTGTCCGGGCTGTGCCTCCTCCCAAGCACCCCCAGCCTCCCCACCAGCGTGGCAGCGCAAAAATCAGGAAAGGCCTTGGCTCTGTGTAAGCCCTGCCCAACAATAACAAAAACATCTCTCCGTTATCAACCCTGTGTTCAGCACAAATCCAACACAGTCCCATGCCAGCCATTGTGAAGAAAATTAACTCCACACCAGCCAAAACCAGCATAAAATATTAGATAAATTACGTGTTGGAAGAATTGCCTTGTTAAACTTTTGGGCTTGGCTTCAGTGATCTCAAACCTGGTGGGGAGAGGGTGGTGTTAAAAAAGCTTGGGAAGAAGGATGTCCTGCTGATAGTGGGTAAAAAGAATGCAGAATTTACAGACCACAAAGACATTTGGCAGAGCTCCCACGATAAGGAAGAAACTAACAAAGCCAATTCAGCAACTGTGCTGAAATCAGCTCCAACTGGGTGAAATGTAATTCTGGCAGAGGGAAATTGTAACCACCAACTCGTGGCCCCCTGACTCAAAAGAAGGGAAAGACTGAGTATGTGTACTAATTAGCACAAGAAGAGAGGGACTCAGTTAACCAATAAAAATTAGAACACTAAGTCGTAGGAGAACTATGGAACTTGTAGCCAAGGAACAATCGTGCCTTTGCTAAAATGTGTAAGTAGTGAAATCTTCTGATAGTGGATTTGCCACCCAGCATGCCTTTCTTTGCAGAACTGTAAATAAATCAAATACCTGACTCTTGAGTGTTGATTGGCCTCTTGCACACTGGGTGTAAGAACCTAATTTGGCACAACATGCTGATGGAACACATGCCTTGTTACATACATGTGTTACCATCACAACGCCCAGAGGTTACATTCAAGTGCAAGGTGTGCTGTAGCTCTTCTGGGCTTGGAAACACCCTGTCTTCTTTGACATTTTAATTTTTTTTCCAACCAGGATTCCTATTTGTCTGGATTTGGGTTAGATCTTTACATTTCTCTGGGATTTCTGCAGTCCAGGCCTGTGAGAGTCAGCTGGTCAGGAGTTTTAGATACAGCTACATAGCAAGAAACCTTCTATTGAACCAGCCCATACCTGACAAAAATTGAAGTCAACAGGATCAAAATGACAAATTCTGGGTTTTGGGTTTTTTTTTTCCTTTATTCATTTATCCACTATATTCTTTCTTTACAACATTTCTGTCAACTGCAGAGGTGCTTAGGTGTGCTGAACTTAAGGATTCTCCTCTCCACAGTAGATGGAGGAGGTTCTTTCCTAGTGACACCCAAACCCTACAGGACTCTCAGTCACTCCAAGAAGAGCTCAGGCTCCCATGCCTTACATTTGTCATGAGCTATTTTTACCCTTGGAACACACTACAAGTATGTTGACAAGTATTATGGTTATGGTCAGTTCATTCCTCCACCCCCAAATTGTTACAAATGAAATCAAGCCATTGTGCATATATTTGTTCATAAATAAACAAGAACAACCCTAAAACGTGCTGAACTTAGTTTGAACTCTGGACAAATGTTGAACTATCCTGATGAATACATGCAGTAAGTATTTGTCAGCAGCTGAGGGGGCACATACTCAGCAGAGGGTCACAAAATTCAGATCTGTTTGCCAAGGGATTTTTAGGGCTGGAGCCCTTTGGAGCAGGCAGAATGTTCCTGAGCAAAGTGCCAAGCCAACATTCTTTAGGAACAATCACTCTAGGCATACATCAAACTCAATCACTTTTGCATTCATGGAAAAAGCTGGCTCCCACTTTAAGTTTTAGTGAGAAGGGGAAAAAAAACCCTCATGTATTTTTTCTTCCCAAGTACCTGATTCCTTGAGGCACTACTGTTCACTATATAGTTCTGTATTTCTCCAATAAAAACACAGGGTCCTGTTGAACCTGCACAGATTCATTGAGGACACTCCAGAGCTTTGCATACCCCATCAGTGTGTGGCATTCCAGCTGAGAATGCCGAGCCTCAGAGCCACAGCTAACAGGAACGGTGAGGCTTGGCCACAGAGCAAATTGTTCTGGGGCAGCTGCCTCCAAACAAGCTGGCTGCTTGTTTGGAGGGCTGAAGAAGGAGCAGAGAGTGCACACGAATGCCAGCATCTGAAAGTGGGACAAAGTTAGCACTGGCTCCTCCAGGAAAATTTACCACTGATGGGGAACAGCTAAATTACTTTTAGGGATTATGTTATCTGCTCACATCTTGAGGCTTTCCTTTCCAGCTGAGATCTCAGATAATCAGAGGGTTGAATTACTAATGTGACCACTGCCTCATTTGCTTGAAATTAACCTTTAGAATACAGTTGGAATCCTCTTTGTCTGCTGTGAGGATTTGTGAAGCATGCAGCACTAAGACGGCCAATAATTTTATAAATTTAAGCATTACAGAGTTTATGCCAGCTCAAGAGTTCCAATCTGCATGTTTGAAAAGGGGCAATATGTATCATAATGAACATTAACATCAGTTAACATAATAATGGGGATGTTATTTTAGTATGTTCCACTTCACAACCCCAAATATTTTGCACACTTTGTGTACAACCTGCAAGTGTGGCTCCTTGGGAGGGACTTGCTGGCCGGAGAGTTTCCCTCCATACCTCCTGGAATGTGCTCCTGCTGCTACTTCTCCTGTGTGGGTCCAGCAACCATGTTGTCTTCAATGAGCTAGTTCAGTCAGTAAAAATCTGCTTAGAAAAGAAAAATGGATATTTTTTGTTCGGAAACAGTTTTGCAAGACACACAATAGATCTCTGCTTCCAAAAGTTCACAGCTCCATCATGATTTTCCCTCATCCAGCCAAGAATTTGTGCCACTCACTAGGCTGCCTTTGGTATTTGTGGGACCTTTACCTGAGCTGATGCAATTCACTAAAATGGCACAAAAAAGGCTTATTCAAAAAGTTTGGTAATTTCCTGTTGGTTCAGTGGGTTACATTGGGCAAAGGTCCACAAAGAGCCAGGACAAGGAAATTGTAGTGAGACTAGATGTGTGGAAGCATGAGGTGCTCAGCCACTATGATAAATCCTACCCTGAGAGAGCTGCTGGGAGCATCACTGTCAAGGACAGCCCACAGAACTAAAAATAAACACAGCTGCAGCATGTATTAAAGCAAAGTGGGGGGCTTGGTTGTGAGCAAAGCCTTCACATAAGCTGAAGACTAAGCAAGGCCACAAGAAATTTTAATCTGGCACAATAAAAACAGTGCTGTGACTCCTGAAATCAGTCCAATTCAGGAAAGAGAAAGGAAAGGGTGTAAAGTTCTTTTATTCATAAGAAAGAGATGCCTGTTAACGAGACTTTCATTCCTTTAATAAAGAGTCTTTTCACTCCCATTCTTGTTCCTATTCTGTTGTTTGTGTAGAAGAACCACTGGATATTTACCCCAGAGATGGTACCTTTCAAATTAGCAATAATTTTCTTGCTCCTTATATTAGAAAATTTCAGGTCTCAGTTACTACATTATCATACATTTTCTTCTAATTTAGGAGAAGGCATCAGTCTTTTAACCTTTTATGCTGATTTGAAAATTTATTGAATACCTTCAAGAAGAAGAAAACATTTATATTCAGTACCTTTGTTTTCTATAGGTTGTGCCTTGGGTTATGATTACAGAAATATTTTATTATAGTCAATCTAAATTATAAGTCTACAAAATGAAAAACATATAACCAAAACATGTTGTTTTGTAAGACAGAGGAAAAATACTGGTCCATTAAAAAAAAAAAAAGGTAAAAAATACTATGATGATATTTTGATTGTGCTAAACAAATTATAATGGAGCATTAGACTGTTTAAAATACTGTTACTATATAGAGGAAAAAGCCTGGAAACATTTCTTTGGAAAAGCAAGAATTGTACATATATTTGTTCATAAATAAACAAGAACAACCCTCACAGCTGCTAATTCAATTCATATTCCTGGAATCAGGCTGTAAACAAATGCTTGTATTTTTGTTTTGGAGGGTGGATGAAGTTCAGTAGCTTTCCATTGGTCCAAAAGAAGGAACATCTGTTGTGGCCATAAAAAACTGGATGATCAAGTTTACCACATCCCACATTAGCAACATTAGGCATTGAGGTTGAAATCCTGATCACACTGAACTCGCTGAAAGTTTTGCTGTTAAATTCTGGGTGGCCTGGATTTCAAGCCAAACTCCAAAGCTTTAAAAACAAGAGCACAGTGAGTATTAAAAACAAAAGTAGGCTGCTGCTGCTGTGTGTAGGAGCTATACACTGACCTGCCTAAGATAACATTCCAGCCTGGTCTGCAAATAGCTTTATATTAGGCAGTACATATCAAGACATGCAATGCTACAACAGTGAATCTATGTTTAAAAAGAAATCATGGTAAGGGGTTCTTCTGCTAGTGTTGATACTGTGATCTTGTCAGATCACAGTATCAACACAGAGCAGAAGAATTTTTAGGAACTCAGGGAGGTAAACAGCTTGAGTCACTGAAGCATACTGTCTTTTTTAACCATTACTGGATCAGGGATGCCACTACACATCTTACATGTTTCTTATTAAGGGAAAAAAAATGCAGGGTAGGTGGGTTTAGAAAAGTGAAATCTTCTCCCTGTAGACATATCATTGCCACCACTTAAGAGTTAATCACAGTGAAGTCAAAAATTCAGAGCCGACTGAGACAGAAAACATGAGCTTATTGTTCCCTCTTAATGTCTGGTTACATCATGTACAATACTCAGAATTAAATCTGAAACCCCTCACATGGCATGTTTTATTAGCTATTTGACTTAGAGGGTAAGGCCTCACCATTTGCCCAAGTGAGCCTCTAGCAGAAAGGTAAGAGACGTGCTTGGAGCTCAGACTCCCTCTCTGAGAAGGCAGCTGTGGCTCTTTGCTGCTGCCCCAGCTCTTTGTCCCTGTCCCAGCTCTGGTGGCAGAATGAGACACAATCGCCTCTGAGCTGTTTCGGTGCAAAGTCCAAAAGCTTAGTTCAAGCTGCCCCCACCCCCCTTGGCATTTTATGCTTTAAACACTGGATTTTATCTTGAAGCAGCTTAGAGTTATCTGTGTTCTCAGTCTGCTGACTCCACTATGTGGGTGGTATCCTCTGGGAGACAGGCAATAATATTTTAAACTGACTCAGTTATTTTCAAAACAATCACTTTCATGCACCATTAGCCACAGAGGCTAGTATAAGCTTTGCCAGCTTTAGACTGGTTTAACAAATAGTACTTTTCTATCTGATGCAGATTTTCATTTGCACTCTGAAAGCTGCAAGAGTGCAGCAAGGGATCAGCTGTAGAGCTGTAGCTATTTTTGCCTTTTTTTTTTTCCAAGCTGGGGTGATTGTTTTAAAGGAACATCAGTTAACTCCAAGAAAAGTTCAAAAATTGCCTGACTTAAACATTGCCAATTAGAGCAGATAGCTCTAGTAAAAAAGGTAGAGCTAGATAAACTTAGATTTCTTTCTTTTTTTGTCTCTCTGAAGAGTTACATAAAACTTATCAGCTACTATGAGGCTCTTAGAAGTAGGCACAGCATAATGTAAACAGGGAATTGAATTACTGATATCCAAGACTCTTAACACACAAACTTACTGACTGCTTGCTTTCTCTTTCATACTCAAATTTTACTTTTGTAACAGCAAGAAAAGTGTCAAATATCAGAGATCTTACGTCAGCAGAAAATGCCTTTGAGTCCTCACTCCTCCAATAAAAAATCCTGCCTCAACCATGCTCTTTTGTTTCTTACACTGTTACATTTTCATATGTATTTTAATCTGTGACATGGTAATTATTTCACATTATACTATAGGTCAATTGTTATATTTGTATAATTTCTGTAGTAGCAGCATCATCCCAGTCATATTGCTATCCCAGTTTGAAAAGATTTGTGATGAAAGCAGTCTGATGATGTATGTGTTTCTTCAAGACACTTGATGCTAAATCAGCTCCATTACTGACAATTATAAACATTTTTTGTTTTATTTCTTTAAGTTTTATTTTTTTATATTATATTTGGTTGTAGCTTAGACGCTTAGTTCCTTTCTTCCTGTAAGAGGCAGATTTTTCTTATTTAATGTCAGATAAATTCAATGCTTCATTTCATAGCATTGATGCCTTAAAGACCTAGAAATAAAACAACGTACTTTCAAGACAATATTAGTATAGGAGGTAATATAAAGCTGGTCTTTATTGGAGGTCTCCTAGGGATGGCTATGGAAAAATGCCCACCCTGCACAGGGTGAATACAGTTTTATAAATTTAGCAAATTAGCATAATTGACAAGAATCCCCAGTTAGAAGCACAAGTGATGAAATAATCTCCCCCTTTTGGTTCCACCTCTTCTGTACCCCCCCCCTTTAGATAGGAACTAAACTTTATTTATGAAAATGTGTCTCGAAGAGCTGGTTTCAGCCTTGGCTCCCAGGAAGAATCAAGAGAGGATAGGGGCCTTGGACCACTCAGGGCTTGGAGCCTCTCGAATGTGTTTTGTCTTTCTGCCTGTCAGGGTAGGGAAAAGTACTGGAGCTAGCTAGGAACTATATACAACAATAGTCTACAGAGCTATGAATATATATTTAAGAAATATAAAAGCCAAAATCATTCTGGCATCAGCATGACTTACTAACTGGGCAACAAACACTAACAGCCCAGAGTGGAAGGAAAAACTGATGATGAGATGTGGAAAGCTTAAGTCTCTATGGCTGCCAACTCCTCTTGAAAGCCTGAGGTAGCTCAGCTTTGGGAGGAGAGGATCATGGCAATGCACAGGGACTGCAGCTTTCCCACTGTACATGTGACTCATAGACCACAGAAAACAAACACACAGGAAACAGGTAGGTGTGCTATGGCCACAAACTGCAGCCACTCTGTCCATCAGAGTTAACTGCCCCCCCACTACCTCTCAAAGAGAGTTAATCCATCCCTGTACACACAAGACCAAATGTTTTCGCTGTTAAATCCTGATGGAGTTGAAACAAAGTCAAAAATTGTTACACAATTCTCCACACATTTAATTACTTCTCTTAGCTCCCAGTTTAAAAATGGTTAATAACATTTTTCATATTTGCAAATGTAAGTGAAAAATGAAATCTAGAGTGTGTTAAAATTTTCAAAGTAATGAAAAAACTCTTATCTTTCCTGATGTTAAAATGGCCCTTTAGTTGTGCCACTAGTTATTTACATCCTATGCTGCTAGAAATAGTTTAATTTTGCTATTGATTCAAACAGAACCACAGTTAGGTCCTAGCTCTTTTATTCCCTTGGAGGAAGAAAGTACTTTGCAGCTCTTCAAGTTCTTTGTTTTTAATACAGTAAGCCTTTGAAGTATTACATCTGCTTGTTTACAGACAGTATGTATTTCTGGGTTAAACAGAAGATGACTACTCAACTCAAACAATTCAATATACAATTTTCTCTTTTTTAAATTTATATTTAAATATTGATGGGCATTTTCTTCTCACATAATTTATGTAAAAGCCTCTAGTTTGTTTCATATACTATTTTGCAGATAGACAGCAAATTTATTATATATTTGCAATCCACAGGAATCTTAAATAGATTACATGTTAGACATCAACAATTACTATTAAATACTTTGTTGTGGATTTAGTGGTACTGAGGAGCTATTAAGACAGAAAACCAGCAGCTTACTGTGTCTAATTGAAAACCTCTTTACCCTCAAAGCTTTTATGTTATCATTTTTTAAAAATCAGAAATATTATATATTGCATAATAATAAAAACACTTCTGTTAAGTGTTGACATTTTCCATAATACCCTGGGAAATTACATTAAAAATAGTAATTATTTTTGTTCTTGATTAGTATAAATTATGCAAATACAAACAAGCCTTAAGGGTGTTCATTAATAATTATTTGCTTAAGATATTAATTTCAAAAGATACGTTCAAACCCACAGTGTATCTAGTCACAGTGGGAATATACAAAGCAAAAACACAGTAGCTGTAACTACTATAGCACACAATGATTTTTTAGTCTTTTTTTAAATTTAATTTGTAGTATCACAAATATAAATAACAGAGAGTGTATCTGCACTCACCATGTATACATCTGTGTTTACTGCTGACAAAAAGGTTTATGGGTATAGTGACTTTGCAGGTTTGTTGAAACTGATATCAGTTTTCTGGGAAAAAATAAGCAGATAAGTGAAAAAGGAGAAAAATATATTTTTCTACAGGACTACTCAAAATAATCATATTTCTAATGTACAATACTATGAACTTTGCTAATTTTGTACAGATAACTCATGGATTTCTTCAAATCAATGTAACACATGTGCAGAACTTCGCCAGAGTTTCAGGGTCATTTTGAACTTGTGCAGTCATCACTGTGAAATTAAACAACTATGTTTTTGTATTTTTAAAATTCAAGGGAAAAAAGGCATCCAGTATATCCAGAAACCTGTAAACAAGAACTGACAATTGCAAACAGTGGAGGTCAAACTGTGTTACTGAACAAGCTAGTCCAATCCATTTTGGTTTCCACTAATGGTTAAGATGATTTTGAGGTGAGGTCATACATTGCCCAGTGACGTCTGGCAGACTTAGGTAATGTGTTCTAGTTGTTTCTAGCCCAAGAGGGCTTGATCTGTAGCTACCTCAGCCTGTTTGTTGTTGCCTAGACTTAAGCTGTTCGTTTTTAAAGCACATTTTAGAGAAACTGAGCTGCAGTTTGTTGGGTTGCTTTACTAACATCCAGTTAGTAGCAAGGTGGTCAGGGCCAGTTCCTGTAATTTAAAGCCCATCTCCTACATGCTCAGGCACAATGTTCATGTACCAATGCCTGTGTACACTGTACAATGTTTAATATATGTTCTATATGACATGTATGTGAGTCCCTGCTCCTTACCAGTGCTGCCTACTGTACCACATACCAAGGATATTTGTTAGGAGTTGTGTGCCATGCCAGCATTGCACCCATGTGGACATGTGCCTTTCCAGAAATCTTCCTGTGGATAAATTGAATGTCATTACTTGAAATCAGGAGCACTAGTGTTTTGGACTTTTTTAAAATCATCCTCTCAGTGTGTGGGTAATTCACAATGAACAGGCACATGGCAGAGACCTGAGAATGCTGTGCAAGGAACTTAAAGACAACTCTGGGTGTGAAATACTCTTCAATTCACATACCCACAGAGAACAAGAGAAGCAAATTTAACTGCAGCCTGAAAAAACCCACTATGTACCTATCTGGGGACTGACTGCTTTCCTAAGCTGCTGGAGAAGCAGAAAGCAGGTGGACATGAGCACCTCTTTGTTGAAAGCCCTATTGCCCAGGATTCACCATCAGCAAAAAACCCAGGCCATTCTTGTTGTGTTCCCTCCCCTCTCAGCCATACTCACCTCTATGATATTACTTCAAGACCTGCACTCCTTTGCATTATGTGATTGAACAAGCTGTTGTGATTAGTAGTCTCAGTACATCCAGCAGCTAGGTAGAGCAACAGGGTATTAAAAATACATGTTAAACTGCAGGAGACCATAGGGAATCTGGAAAGCTCTGTGGGTTTAAGTGTCAACAGATGGCACGGCATGACCTACTTTGGAATAAATAAATTAAAGAAGAAAAGGTAAAGTTGCTCTGTCAAGAAGTGTCTGTGCTGGTACTGGGAAGCTGCAGAGCTGCAGAGCTCAGGGAACCAGCAGTGGGGTGTCTGGAGGCTGCCAGCTGACTTTGCAGCCAAGGCATCATTAGTATGTGTTGGCTGTTCAGTAGCCTACTCAATATGTGCTGGTAATATTAATCTGGGTTTCCTAGCAGCAGGTGCCTCTATCATAAGATTTTCTAGCCTGATTACTTTGCAGATTGGCAGAAAGTCCAAGGTTTGAGTGACTCAAAATAGCAAAATTAAATTTCCAGCCCTAGCAATGTCTCTTCTGGAGTCAGGCTGGGCACTAATTCTATGGTATCACCTTTTACCGATAAAGGATGCTTACCAAAAAATACTTCATTCTCCAAAGAAAAGAATACAGCCCAGTACTTTCAATAGGCACCACACACATAAAAGCAATTGTCAGATTTTTCAAGTCTCCTCTTATATTTACTTTAAGGTATACACCATCTATTATTACTACTGCTAATTTCAATGGGAACATGAATTGTGTTATTTCTATAGCATCAAGTGTCCTCACTCTCCTCATCAGCTATTTTATAAATTTCACCTATCTTCAGTATTGTATCCAGCCTTTTCCAGAATGTCCCTTTAAAAAGGAGCATATAAATCCTTCTAAAAGTGTAAAGAAAAAAAAACAAAAACAATGAAACAAACTGGAGAACACTGTCTGTTGTGAGACACAATGTGCAGATAGGTCAGATGCTTGTGGAGTAACATGGATGTGAAGCTCACAGTTCCAGCATGTATTCACTTGATTTTATGGACAGTTAATGCAAAACTGCTATTTGCTACCTGGCTAAGAGAATGAGCTATCTTAAGCCCACTGAGCACCCTGGTTGTAGAACAATATAACCAATTAATTGTGTAGTATGGATAATTTAAGTATTTAAGTTTTTTTAATCTGTTCAAATTTTTACAATTTAAATGCATGTAAACATTCAGTTCAGTTATGAATACTGTGTGTGTTCTTGGCATCCTGCTTGTAACATAAGGATATGCTTCCCCACCAATCTGGGACAAATCCTCTCAAGGGACACTAGACTAAATAACCATTTGATTTTAGATGACAGTTGAAGAATGAAAACATTTTACACAAGACCCATTGTGATTTTTTTAATCTGCTTATTCTTTTAATCCTGTTCATTCTTAAACATTTTAAATCTTTCAGCCCTTTTAACTCAATATACAGGTAACAGGGACAGATTGATTTTAAAGCTTTCCCAACCTGTTAGCATTATGGAGATATATTTATACTCTCTGACAGGGAGAATCCTGTATGACAGGGAAAGGCTGAAGGCATTCAGCCATCCAACCCTCTGCCAGGCTCCATTTCAGATGATCAGAATTGGCCCTGAGTAACCTGGCCTGACCTGGCAGTCACCCCTGCTGTGAGCAGGAGGCAGGACGGGAAGACTCCTGAGGTCCCTTCCAGCCAGCATTATGTTATGGTCAGGTATTGGGAGCTACTGGTTGCATTAGACTTTAATACCTTTAATATAGTGAGTCTTAGCAAAGCAATTTTTCTGAAGTGCCAGAGGAACTTTCCAAAACTCCAAATGTGCAGATAGACCTGCAGCTCTCCCCGTGGTGTAGGTATTCAGCTTACATGAGAAACATCTCAGATACCCCACCTTGGAGCCACACATCTGCCTTGAAAGAGAGGAAGAAACTGTTATAACTCATTGATATCCTCAAAATATACATCTCACTTCCTACAGCAGCTGTGACATCTCTTGCTGCTCCTTCACTTAATACAAGCCATGAGTCATGGCCACTGGAGGTCCCAGGGAGGCACATGGCACTGCAACCACCTCATGCCGTGCACAGACCTTCCCATCAAGCAGGCACAAATCCTTGCTGCCCTCCCATGGCAGCAGATCTGATGTCACCTCTTTGGCTGGGGAGGGTTAGAGACCATCAAATCGATGGCCTGCGGCACACAACATGTTTCTTCCTGCCTCAAAAGGATGCACAACCAGCCCTTTGGATGAGTACCTCATTGAGGTGATTATGTAGGAATAACCCACCCTTCTCACAAGGCAGGTCCATGGGGTGACCACCATCCATCATGTTTGCTTCCTCAGTACCCTTAGTGGGATACACATTACGTAAGGGGAATGAAAATTATGAAGGTATATATAGAGTTTGTGGGGAAATTATTAGTAACTTCATGGCTAGTGTGCAAACATGGACCTTTGTTCAGTACCTGCTCAATTTTGTTCTGAATTGTCACATCACTAAGTCTACTCACTAATAGAAAAAAATAACCATGACTGTAAGTGTCTGTAGAGTCAGGTCTTAGACCCATGGTGACATTTTCTGTGACTCATTTCATTTGTTGTGCATGTTTGTATTTACTTTTTCTCAGAAATATCTCTCCCAGCACTTTGAATGTCCTCTTCTTAGTAATACAGATGTGCTGCTGTCTGGACAGGAGACCCACACAGTTAAAAAGCTAAAGAATGAGAACTGTCCAGACATGTGGTAAATGTTCCAGCGTGAGGTGAACTTTATCCTATTATTATGAAGGACTAAATCTTTAATGAAGCTTTATTTAGCTTCCTGGTCAGGATGTCCCTAAATTTTCATCTGTTACATCTCTCATTTGCTTTTATCTCCTCCAGATTCTGTGCTTAGACAGGAATACTCAGTTTACATGTAGAATATAGAAAAGTTCTTATGAAATTACTTTGAACAAAGGCCTAGATTCACAAAAACCTGCCAGCACCATTTTCTTTTGAGGAGATGGTACAGATAATGCTGTCTTTTAAATGTTTTCTATTTATTCTGCTGATGATATCATCCAATTCACAGTAATATTTTTTATTCTTCAAATGACTAATTTGGTAGCACAAATCCAGAGCTGTCAGAAATCTGAATGCAAAGAAACTATTCTTAAAAATGAAAAACAGTGTTGTGAGGTATCTAGATATAAGACAAGCAATATATATGAACACTGTTCACAGAATTGACAAGACAGATCAAGGATGCACGACTGAGATGTAATTTCTGCCATAAAAAATACTTTAGTTTTCCTGAAGAAGTGCTGGACTAATCATCTTGGGCTTGCCTGTCAGAGTATAGGTGACACTGTGACACTTCCACAGCTGAGATTTGAGAACTGAGATGACAGTCTCAGTTCCAGTCCAGATCATTTCCAAGATGCTGTGTATTAACGGGGTAATCAAGGACAAAGTCACAGTCTGAGTCATTACAGGAAAGGCCAAAGAATGTGGAAACATCAGTGTCAAGCTCCCAGGAAAGGGCCTCAGGTTCAGGAACTGGTGTTTCCATTGTCAAGAGAAAATCTGTCCTGGTACAGTGACACTCCAGGACCTCCATTAAATCAGAGTGACTGTTCATGTGAGGAAGCAGAGTAGAAGGAGAACTTCAGTTTCTGATGTTCTGCACCTAGATGCTGTTCAAGTGCCTGTGACATTAAAGTGATGTCATGAGCGCCTCCAGACAGAGCTGAGGCTAAACTGTCAAGTCTTGCAAAACCTAATAAAAAAAATTAATAGCTAACTGAACAAAAGGCCAGGCTGAGGGAGTATGAAATAGGATCCATACCCTGAAGTGCAATTAGCTCATTTGGGTCAGGTGAACAGTTGGATTGGTTTCATGGGGTTTTATTAAAAGGCTTAGGTTAATTACAGTGAAAGGTGATGCACAGATAAATTAGACAAGTAATCATCTGGTATCTCATATAGAAATTCTATTTTAAAAGTCAAAATTAAATATATTCAGTTAAAAGTATTAGGGACATTTTGATAATGTAGTATTTTTTGTTTTATCCTGTGTAGAGGAGGATTTTCAGTTGTGATAATGTATGGCTTTTAGGCTTTTAACTAAAATGTTAAACATTTTAACTGGTGTTAGCCCTAAAGTATGAGCACAATCCAAGCATACAATTTGCTTTGTTCTAAATTCAGAGTGAGATGGTATATCATAAATAAATTGTTTTCAACAATTAGGATGCTTTTAATAAAAAAAAAAAAAAAACAACAAAACTTTAAAAGCCCTGCTTCTTTTTTCTTAAATATTTTTGCCAATTGAGTAATAGCTCTCATTAGCCATGAAATTGCCTGTACATTCATGTAGCAGTGAATCTTTAATTTGTCACTTAATGGGCATCTAGTCTGCAAAATGTACTGCTGAAAAATACTGCTAAAGTTAAAATCCATCAGGCCTGAAAAGTACTGTAACTTATTTACATTTATAAATACCATAATCAATCAAGAAAATTACAAATATTTTTTTAAAGGGAAGTTTGAAAGAGAAATGGAAAAGCATTGTATTTTACACTACTGTCTAAAAGCTTACAGATTTCTTTGGAAATATATGGCTTGATACCTATCTCTTCTATGTTCTGACTAGCTTAGTACTGACAATATGCACCAGCCTAGATAAACTAGTGAAGTTCTGAAAAACAGAGTTATTTATAATCTCATCCAAACCTGTAAAAATAGTTCCCAGAAATATACATTCCCCTTTTTGTTTGCTGACTGTTAAGTTGAAGCCAGGGTTAGACACATGTATCTAACTTTCAGGCCCTTGATTTATGACATACTCTTCACTGTTTATTATGTGATAAAAGCACAGGATAGAGAGCAACAACGCACAGTTTTATTTATTGAAATTTCCTCTAAAGTTCATAAGTTTGCAGAAGGAAATGTGATTTTTCTAATTTTTTAAAACCCCAGGGATGCAGTCATTAAGATGTCATGAGCTTGTGTTTCACAAAAGACACTATTTCTAGTGTATTTTGTACATGGTGCCAAGAGTGCACTGGATATTTTCTTTTAGAAATTAAGGTTTCCTGCCTAATCCACTTGTTCTAATCTCCAGCTCCCTTTTTGGTAAAACATGAGCTGAAGAAAAACAAAAATATTAACTTTTTTGTTGGTTTTCTTCTATTCCTTTTTGGTTGCTATTCTTTCATTGTTCTGACACACCAGTGCAACAATAATTCAAAAATATTTTTGTCTAATAAATTAATGCCTGCTATTGTCTACAAATAAATACATTACAGTGAGTCACAAATACAGATTGAGCTGCTGCTGGCGGTGTTTTCCATCTGCAGAGCCTTTCCCCAAACTGCCTGACGACATCACATTGATTATTCTGATTCACTGTGATCTCACAAAGCCTCTGCCTAATGCAGATATTAGTAGCAGCAAATATTAGCCGTGGAGATCAACTCAATGAAGCAGCAGAGTAAAGCAGATAGAGAATTTTTACGAGTGGTTGAGTCTGCCTGTGATGAAAAATAAATACAGGGAAGGATTGATTTAATCTGTTTACGTAACTGACTTTAAATTAACTTGCAATTAGGCCCTCACCAAGAATTACTCAGTGATTATACCCTCCAGCTGCCCAACACCAGCATGGTTTCTGGGCAAGGCTGTAATGAAGAGGGATGGGCTACTGCTCCCCAAATGGGTCCTTTCGGGGCTACCCCTGCGGAATGCCAAAGCAAGCCACTAGAGGGAACTCGGCCTATGCCCTACGAGGCCTTGACACTGGGTTTTCCGTACTACTCACTTCCTCGGGCCCCTCAGCAGAGCATACATGAAGCTGTGTGCATGTGCTTTAAGGACACCTGTGGCAGTGACTCCATCTGCTGAAGCAAACGTACCAGTGCTCTTTTGCATCCCATATGCACATAGCACATTTCATCTTTTCTCTCAGTAGTAATGTGGTTTTTTAACCTTCTGTCTGTTGATTTTTTTTCTTTCCTTGTCACCTCTGTGTCCACCTGGTGTCACTGCTCCCTGGAAGTGGACCAAAAAGTTACTGAATGTGTCCATGGTTACTTTGTGTGTAAAATACATTCCCTTACATTTCTGGCATGTAAGTTAAGGAAGGGTGGAGGTGTGCTAGAGGTCCTTAAAAAGCGATGTCAGGGAGGCTGGATGCAGCTGAGGAAGACAATATGGAGAAAGGTTTCTGTGTCAGCAGAGCTCCTTCCTCTGGTCATCAGGTATCAGCTTCCCACTCCTTCACCTTCTTCAGTATCTCACTGAAGCCCAGAGGCAAAGCACGTCCTTCCCAGTCCCAAGAGCGCTGCCCACATCCCCATCTCAGCAGTGTTAAAAGTGAGCAAAGCCTTTCCTAAGAAAATTGTGACTAAGATGGCATTTGGATCAAGGCTGCAAGACTTGATCAAGATTACTTTTACCCTTCCCCCACATCTTCACACTGTTTTCCCACAGTATTTGAAAAGTAGGGCATGTATGTGTTAAAAATCATAAACATACAACAGTTTGGAAGACTGGAAATAATCAGTTGTAACAGCAATACAGGTTAAGTCTGCAGTGTTGCCACAGGGGAGAGGATAAAACCAGGCTGTGTTGCCTGTATAGAAATTTCTGTTTCATTTCAAGGCTATTTAGGGGTGTGGGCTGCCCTCTCACTGAGTTCTGCTTCTGGGGCTGTGAAGGGAAAACCAGAAAACCTGGGTTTTTTTGGAAGGCTGCCTTCTTTAAACACTCTGAAATACACTGCTACAGCCATCAAAGCTGGCATGTTTCAGAACATTACTGAGGCTGGTGCCTATGTGATCCAGATGGGGGGTCATCAGAACTGGGGGTCCTAACCTAACCCCTCCTTTTATCCCAACACTTCCTAAAGACAGAAATTTCAATGAGTATGTTGTTTGCTCATTTTTGTGTACCAGGTATGGCTCTCCAGAGCTTCAGCATGTATTCCCAACAACACTGTAGTCAGAGAAATAAAAGAAATAAAAATTCATAAGTGAAAAATAAAGAGGGAAAATGAAAAGTGTTGAAAATAGGAGTTGAGTTGAACTAACAGTGCACAGGCACAGTCAGTTGATCAGAGTTATCTCTGTGGACAAAGTAATGGCACCTGTGTTACCAGTTTCTCTTTATTAAAATTAACTTACATGCAGCAAGAAGTCACATGGCTGCTGTTGAATTCAGTCTCAATGGTTATAAATTAGAAAGACTACCCTTGAACAAAATGAGACAAAACACAAAGGAGCAATGTAAACTCCTACCTTGATTTGCCTATGACACAAACAGGTCAGAAATGTTTGGCCAACCATGGAACTACCACTGAACACTCCAACAGACACCATCCTACAGCAGAACGCTAAGGAGTTTTGGACCTGGACATGTGACAGTCTCTCAGACAGCAGACCCAGCCTAGAAAATTAGATTAAAAGCCTTGGTTCATAAGTGTCAGAGCTGCAGACTGCATTTGCATCTTCCTGTATGCTCTCCTGCCAGTGACCAGACCATATCAGACCTCTCAGACTTTCTGATCTCTGAGGAAAGTCTTCTTAAACTCTAATTGCTTGGGGTTTTGAGTTGTGTTTGACAGATAATTCTGTGGTATCTGTGTGGAACAGTACACCAGTTGTTTCTAGTCCTCCAGGATATCAAGTAAGGTATATTATGGTTAACAAGGCTTGACAGGTCAATTCATACCAGGTTGACAGGAGAAATCTGAAGAGAATCATTGCCTCTTGTAAAAATCTAACTGTCCTCTAGGAAAAAGTCCATTCTGTCTTGGAGGAATTGTACCCAGAACACAGCAGAATAAATGTGGCACACTCAGTTTGATTTTTCAGGTGAAAAAACCAACGTGTGTGAACATTTGCCCAGAAGTGAGGTAAACTGAGAACAATTAAATGCATTTAGGAGGAAATACAAGAAAAAAGACACAGCTGCAGTGAAAAGTAAAGAAAACAGTCAGGGAAAGTGATGGGAAGGCTTGAGGTGTTAAGAAGGATTGGCTGGTAGTAGACAAAAAGTGGTCAGTCACAAATTACACGTTCTGTCCTCCTGGAGGAAGATGTTCTCTCTTGGGAAAGACTGGGCTTCTCTCTTTCTTCCAGGATCTAACAAAAGGCTAAAGATAAAGCAAATGTAAACTCAAGGAACTAAAGGAACTCTGAGGGTACTGCACATGTCCATGGCCCTCTCAGACAGCAGCTGGCTGCAGCATGTTTGTGCAGCAGTGGAGAGCAGCAGCTAATGAACAGAAACTGCTGATTTATCATCAGCCACCCCACTGCTGGTCATGGGGAGAGGACAATGGTGTGTATAGACTATGTATTGTATCAAAGGGTCCCAAAAAAGGGTGGAAAAAGTGTAATATTAATCTTTATTGTGCCAATTACTAAAACTATCGTGTAATAAAACTGCATACCACACAAAACCTAGGTGCATCCTGATTTATGTCACCAGTCCTAACAAACTACAAACATTTCTAAGCAGAACCTTGTATTAACTGCATTTTACATACTATACAGTGAGGAAAGGAAGACTTGCAGATCACACACAAAACAAAACATATATACTGGCAAAGGCAAAACTTGGCTGGACTTCCAGACACTATGGTTCACTTTCTGGGTGAATGAACAGCCTACTGAGGAACCTCAATCCAGCTAGTTCCCTTCTAGCATGCCTGTGTTTCCAGCTATAAAACATACAGTAGGCTTCTAACATACAGTAATGTACATACTTTATCTGGCAACTTCTAAAAAACTGTGAAAACCTGAGAGCAGTAAACACTTGTGCAGCATTTTGTGACACTTGAAGCAGTACTAACCATTAAGAATGCTGCCCCAAGGTGCAATTTCTAGTAATGGACAGTAGGTACTGAGCAGTCAGATAAAAAGTCAGTTACAGTATCTGCCATCTCACATGGTCATTCTTCAGATGGTCCCAGTCAAGGAGTAGAAGCAAACTGATCATCTAACCATTAAAATTCCTTAAATTTGCAGTAACATCAACTACCTCAGGAGATAATTTTTTCTTGCAGTATCTTTCCTTCCAGCATTAAATAATGGTGACATCTACGCTGCTACTCTCATCTCTTAGTTGACCTTGTTTTCCAGGGTGTTTTTTTCTCTCTGTCTCACCATTTTTTCCCTTTTCATTCCTAGTACATGGGAGAAGGGGCACAAAAAAAAAAATCATCCCTTTTTTATTACTTGCATATAAAGAATGTCTAAAATTTGGACAAGGTCCATCAGTTTACAGCTTCATTAATTCTTACAATGACTTATTGCTATTCTAAATAACATGATAACATACAATTTGTGAATATCCTGATGCTAGGAATGAAACTTACAAAAGCTTCATGCTACATACACACAGAAGCAAATTACAGATCTCAAATTACATATCATTTTAAGTAAGGGCACACCTTATTCTTTGTTTTGCAGCTGTGTCACTAGGCAGTGAAGGACACAAGAATCAGGTGATAAGAGAAACTAGAGGAAAGCCTGACTCTTTATTAAGCCCTTTATTAAATGTAGCTCTAGGTCTTGTTTCAGGAAATGAAAAACAAAGTAAATTTTATTTTGATGGCCATTGCCATCACCACTTATGAGGACATTGGCAAATTAAAGGGTTCAAAGGCCTACTTGATGAAAGCACACTGCTTCATTAAAGGAGCAAATGGCATCTTTAATACAAACAGCAATCTCCTCAAAACCTTTTGCTTTATGACCTTAAGAACGGCATAATGGCCATGATCATTACACCACTTCTTGGAATGCATACAGCCACTTACTGAACTACAACAAAAGAGTCAGCAAAGTCTGACTGTATAAATATGAGAAAAGTCCTGGATCCCCAAACACTTCCTCTTCCAGGTATAATTTAGGGAAATCACACCAGTTTACTCACCACTGGCAACCTACACTGTAAGTGCATGTAACCAGCCTAGTTCTCAAACTGAAGACAAGGGTTTATGGACCACTCAGACTGAGTGGTGCATCTGCCACACACTTGTAGTAATGCCATTAGGCTAATGTTAAATAAAAGTACCAATGCAGCATTCCAAGTGAGTCAGGGCTTTGCGAAATCCAAATCTGTTTTCTGGGAGTTGAACAAATGAGATTTTATTACCCCGTGGGAAAAAAAGTTAGAGAGGAATGCTGACTTCAACACAGGGCAAGACTCTGCTAGGACATGTTGGCTGTGCAAATTAATTCCTCAGGAAACTTCAAATTCAGCTGAATTGTTGACCTTCCTGCCTTAGTTCTGATAACATTCTACTACACTTTCAGAGCAATCCAGAGTTCACAGCCTCAAAATTGCTGATAACATTCTATTGCTCAACTTCAGCACTTAGTCCTTTTATTGGATAATGTATTTCTCCTTAATTGATGGATATGCCCTTCATCTATCTTTTCTAGTGAAACAGCAACTAAATATTTATTTCTCATTATCAAAAATATTTAACACTGTAGTTCCTGTTCAACAAAGTAGCATCAGTTTTTCACAGTAGATGTTTACATTTTACAAGTTTACCTCTTACTTACATCATAGCCTCTTTTAGGTAAGGACCAGCCTACTCCTAACAGAAAACCATCTTAGAAATTTCAGCAGAAAATAAAATCCCCTTAAAAAGTTCAGTCAAGCACATAATATGAAAAAGAATATTTAAAGAACACACTGTAAAATCAAAATTCAAAGAGCACAAGAAGTTGTAGAAGAAAATAAGGAATTTGTTTAACTGCATAATGGAAGAGTCAAGACTTTCCTTCCAGAACCTGAAGGGAACCCACAAGAAAGATGGAGAGAAGACTTTTTACAGGAGCATAGAGGGACAGGACAAAGGGGAATGTCTTCAAACTGAGACAGAATATGTTTAGATTAGATATTAGGCTGAAGTTCCTTGCTATAAAGGTTGTGAGGCACTGGAACAGATTATCCAGAGAAAGCTGGGGATGCCCCATCCCTGGAGGTGCTCCAGGCCAGGCTGGATGGGGCCTTGAGCAGCCTGGTCTAGAGGAGTGTCCCTGCCCATGGTAAGGGGGCTGGACTTACATGATCTTTAAGGCTCCTTCCAACCCAAGCCATTCTATGATTCCATGACTCTATGTAGAAAATAAAGGTAAACTTATTTCCAAAATTACAATGAAACATCATCTATAATCTTCAGGCTTTATATAATCTATACAGCTTTGTACTGGATTTCAAAACTGTCTAAATAAGGAAAAAATCCTCAAGTGTGACGGTTATCAAATGTTTTATAATGCAAAAGCTTAAAAAATAATCTGAAAATAATTAAAATACGATTTAAGATTACATGTCTTGGATAAAATATTTATCAGATGGAATTAAATTAAACGGACAGTCTCAGTCTCATATGCAGATTGCTTAAGAATTCAGCAGAATTCAGCAAAATCCCTGAAGAGATCCTGGTGTAATAGAGCTCAAATGCACATAGGATTTCTAGCTCCTGTTGCATTAGGAGGCAGAAACATTTCAGCCTTAGAGCACCAAGCAAGCCATTATAAATGAAGCTGTCTAATGGGCTGAGCCTTAGCCACGCATGAGAACCCAACAACAGATACCTCTGTCCTCCATGAGAGCAACATTTCAGGATCATCAACACATTAACTGTTTAAAAGTAAGGTGGTAGTTAATTCTCAGTAGATTCCCCTGCAGTTCTGCGCAGCATTGCACTAGACTTTCAAACAGAAAGGATTTCCATTATCTGAGGAGCTAATGTTCAGTTTCCTTAATGACCTCAGAAGATTTAATAAGGTATTTATTTAATTCCTGTACAGCAAACACATGACTAGCTGATAACACATCCACTGATTTTGGTCATTTTCTTCCTTAAAGGGTGGTCACTCCTTAAGTGTCACTCCATAATTTTATATTACACTGCAAACAAGCCCTCCAAATATGACACTAATGCTTTGCTGGCTCTGAACTCAAAATTTAAGAGTACGTTCATGTAATACAATGGCTCCTCTTCAGGAAACTGGGATAAGGAATCTGTCAAAGTGAAGGAAATCTTGAGAGTGAAAATCCCTATAAGATGATATTGTAAAAACTTAAAGGAAAAAAAGCAGGAAAGTGACAAGTAAGGTGCAGAACATGGCCCTAAATGATGACTACGTTTTTATTTTCAGCTGGTCACGTTGAAGTGTATGTTGCCCTTAGGCCCAATATACAAACCTGTCCATTGTGCAGGACAGGGCTCAGCCCTAAGATCTCAGGAAGACAGAAATATGAAGTGCTCCAACACTTCTGCGGGATCATTGACACAGACGTGTGCTAAATAAGCTTCGGTTTTTTTGCTACTATTTAGAAACACCAGATTGTTATCTTATCCTTTAGGGTCCAACAAGTTATGGGAAGTTTAATGTTCCCAACACTTCAGAAGTCTCAACCACCAGCTCTCAAAGAATTGACTGAGGAGCTGAGAACTATTTGCAATTAACATTTAATGAATTCTTTAACCCTAAGGGATGTATTGGCACATCAGGGCAGGAACAAAGAGGTATGTGACTTAGATAAATTTTATCCAGGATCAGAGCTAACATTCACTCTGTAAGCTCCGAAAGGTAGGGAAGAGGCTGTTGGCAATGAGATAATAATCAGGGGGACAGAGGACATATCCTTCTAAACAATGCCAACCCACTGACTGATGGAAACGCCCTTTCTTCAAGCTAGTTAGCAAGATTCACGGCGACCAGACCAAATTAACCATTGCCTAAAGCTACGGGTGAGACATTTTCTTTCGCACTTGGGTGACACGCAGGCAAAAACAAAAAAGAGAAAAGCACAACAGCAGATCAATACAGCATTTACCAAATATAGCAAACTCGGACTTACGGTCTCCTTGAGTCATCCTTGGCGAGATTCCAGTGGCATCTTCCTTTGCCCTAATACTGTTTATTTAAAAAATAAACAGAAAACCAGGATGGGTTTTGTTCATTTTTAGAATAGAAGATGGGGGACACTAAATTAGAGAGTATTTAGATTAGGCAGGAAACTGGGTTGTTGAAGCCACACACTGACCTTGAGTACACCAATACCAGTCTCTTGAAAGACCGTGAACCTCTAATTCTTTGGAGTAAACCAAAAATTTTGTATCAACCCTTAATTTAGAGCATCGATAGCTAAATAGCCTAATTTTACAATTACATAACCAATATCTACAGGCAAGCCAAAAACCCCTTAATTTTTGAGCTTTTGACCAGGCTCATGTCAGGGCTGTACTAATGAATCCTGCCAACTGCCCCGTGTGGAATGCAGTGATGCTCTGGACCAAAGCTGCAGCATGAACACACCTAATGCAGCTCAGTCTGTGTGTCTGAGGATGCTGCTCACACTAGGGAGCCACCTCAGCCCGATACAAGCAGCCCTTTTCTTCCTACATGCCGCTCCTCTCCTAGGACACCAGAGTACAGACAGTGTATCTTTTCTGGTGGATCCAAAAATTTAAAAACGCTTTTCTAGCTAATGTAAATTTCACAAACTTCCTAGTATTAATCTTATTTAAACACTAGATTAGGAAAATAACTGCAAATCTGTTGCAGTTATGTTACTCAACATGCCTGTCAGACTAATCTACAGTCCAATTCCTTAAGAATTTTAAGTTAGGGGGATGTATTTTCCAGCATAGCTACGAGCAGGAGACAATCTGGTGAAAACCACTAAATTCTACTTGCTCCATTCATTTTCTGTCACTGCTTACTTTCAGTGTTAACTCGTTTAATAGCCACATACTATGAAAAATTTTAAGGAGCATTACTGCATGAATTTCAATGTCTAAGTGCCCCACTTGCTTGAACTCTGTTTTAAACAAAGCAATCCTAGAACGATTTGTCACAAAGGTGGCTTTTTTTTTTTAAACATAAGGAATTCTTGGTGCATAACTGATCTCCTAATTTTCCCTGAGATAGTTAAAAGATGAAGTATTTCTACCAATGCACTAGAAGGCTATCAAGTGATTTAAATTCACATACTTGAATTAACAGACACACACTCAAAGAAAAACAGAGACATGTATAAGGGGAGGCCAAATTGTTTTATTTAATTTTTTTAGTGACCAATTGAATTTTTGGCAGAAAGCTCTGCTCTTTCCTTTTTTTTTTTTTGGTTTTTGTTTTTAAACTTTTTTAAAGAAATCAGCAGTGCTCAAATTGGTGGGTTGGAATTTTAGTCAAACTCCAGTTAATTTTAAAAACGAACAGATGAACAGGAATTCCAGATAGTTTCCAGAGCAGAGGGCAAAACTTCACATTTGTATGAAAATTCCATGTTTATACTTGATTGGGAGACAGAATGTGAAACTATTGTCAGTAGTGCACGAATAGAACATTCACATTTGATCTGGAACCTTAATCAGAAAGCTGTACTCTCCTTCCAAAATTTTCATTGCCTTGTGCAAAGCAAGTCAAGTCTTCATGTGTCAACACACACGCAAAATTGTCCATATTTTATATACAAGACATCTACCAATCAGGCAGTGCAAAATACATCCTTTCATAACAAAACTAAAATGTACCTCTCAAAGTATGAACAAGAATATACACATAATACAAGATGTACACTATTTACACAACCATAAAAAATATAATACAAGGATTTTTTTTTTTATGTGATTGTAAGACTTGACAGTCTTTTGCAATTTTTGTTGCAACAAGGCATGTTTAAGTTTCCTGGATGGAGTTTTCTTTGCCAATTACTCAAGAGATCTTGGAAACTACGCTTGAACTTTTAGGAGAGTTTTCAAATGGACTGCCATCAACTCCCTGTTTTGGTCAGACAGTTCAGCTGTACCACCCACCCAGTGGCTGGGAGGCTTTGGAAGGACACTGGGAGATGGTGGGTCACTGAACTTTGCCCCAGCGTAATTTTCTTTTTGGCTCACTTCATTTAGGGCGATAGGTTTCTTGGACTTGGCATTTCTGAAGTTTTCTGTGTTTTTAAGTGGCTTTTTCTCCTGCTTCTGAACTATTTCTGGCGACACAGAATCCTGCCAAAAGTTCTCTATCTTTTTCGCCGAGGCGATCTTCGTCACTGGCGCGTTACACTTACTCTTCTGCCTGTTAATCTTTGGTTGTTCACACAGGTGTAAGCTGTGAACGGGCTGGCCGTAGGGAACGGCCGCCTTCTCTGTCTTTCCCATCTTGTTTTTTAAGAACTGCGGAGACAAAGAACAATCAATCACCTAGGACCCCTCTCCTCCGCGCTCCCTCACCGCCTCGGACACTTACTGAAGCGCGGGGGGGGCCACCTCGGCAGGGGGAGGGGTACCGAGAAGCCTTCTCCCCGCTATTTCTCGCTTATCCCGCAGCTCATCCCACCGCTCGGCCGACACCGGGGGCCTGAGGGCGCGGAGCCCCGCCGGCCGCCATGGGGCGCTGCGCGCCGCGCACGTCCCGCCTTCAGCGAGCGCGGGGCGGGGCTGGCGCGCGGCCAGCGGCAGGGCTAAATCCGGCTTGTTGCTGGGGCGCAGCGCCGCGCTCCCATTGGTGGGCGCCGGGCAGCCAATCACCGCCCGCGGTTCTCCCTCAGCCCCGCCCCGCCCGAGCGTAACGGAAACTCTGCCGCCCCCCCGCCCGCTCCCCCCCTCACCGCTCTGAGGGGGCGCCCCGCTCGCTGTTCCCCCCCCACCCCGAGGGAAAGGGAAAACCATCGGCCAGCTCGCCGGGCACCGGGAGCGGGCTGAAGTGAGGAGAAGTAGCACAGCCTTGTCTTTACCTCCTTCCTGAGGGGTTTGCCAGGCGCGGGTCTCGAGGGGGCAGGCGCAGGGGGCTCCTCCGGGGGGGCGTCCGTCACCAAGTCGGTTCCCAGCGGCGTCCGTCTCCCTAGCCCGGCGCGGTGCTGCTGGTACTGCTGGTAGCGGCTGGGCAGGAGCCCCGCGGGGCCGGGCCGGATCTTTCCCTTCCTCCGCCGCACCCTCTTCAGCGCGGGGCGGGCGCTGCCCCCCGGGCCCGCCAGGCAGCAGCTGGGCTGGTTCTCGCAGTTGCTGTCCCCGCGCCGGAGGCGCTGGAGCAGGGCGGAGGGCGGCAGCCGCCGCGGGTCTTCGGTGCCCGCCGAGATCCGAGCCAGGAAGGGCGGCGGCGCCGTGGTGGTAACCATGGTAGGACGTGGGTACCCAGAGTTGTGCCGGGGAGAAGGGTCAAGCCCAAGCAGGGACGAGCGGGTCGGATTGCTGGGGAGGGTCTGCCCGGGCTTTGTGACGGGGTGAGGAAGTGGTGGCGCAACCGGAGCCGCCGCTAGGAGAACATGGCGGGGGAGTGAGGCGAGCCACCAGCAGCTCCCCGGTGTTGTTACCCGGGTGCGTCCCGCCCACTTCCGCCCCCGCGCCAACCGCCGTGCGCGGACGGCGCCAGCGTCTCGCCTCTCTGCCCCGCCCCGCCAATCGCGGGAGAGCAGCAGCCTCTCTGCCCCGGCTCCAGCCAATCGAAAGCGACACAAACACTCGGGGCCACTCCTCCCTTAGGGGCCGCCCAATCCGGGCCGGCACGCCCCCCCGGTCTCCGAGTCACGGGCTTGCAGTGCGCGGCAGGCGGGCGGTGCTCCACCGGCCAATCGGGATCCGCACGAACAGCCGAGGCCACGCCTCCCCAGGCGCCTCAGCCAATCGCGGGAGACGTAAACAGGCGTCGGCGCGCCCCCGGTGGGCGGTGGCAGCGGGTGGGCACGCGTCGCTCGCCATGGAGGAGCCGGGCCCGGCCGCGGCGCCGCCGGAGGGGCGGGGGCGGGACGAGCGGAGCCTGGAGGCGCTCAGCCTGGCTGGCGGCGGAGGGGCGGCGGTGGCGGGGCGGCAGCTATCGGAGGGGCGGCGGGCGACGCTGGCGAGCGCCCTGGAACTGGAGGGGACGGTGCTGCGCGAAGGGCGCCTCACCCAGTTCGTAGCCAACAACCTGGAGCGGCGGATCCGGCTGAGCGGCGCCCCGCGGGGCGAGCCTCCGGCGGGGGGCGGCGGGTCCTCCATCCCCGCCATCGACCCCGGGGCGCTGCAGGACGTGGTAGCCCTGGCCGGGCAGGTGGCGGCGCAGGTGGACGAGCTGCTGCGGAACGTGCACTGCGGGCTGCAGGCGCTGACGGCGCTCAGCGTCGGCTGCATCCAGACCTACCGCGACGGCGTGGAGAGCCTGGGCGAGGCGGCCGACCTCAGCATCCGCGCCATGTACGCGCTGGTGGCGCGCTGCGAGGAGCTGGACCGCGCCATGCAGCCCGTGCCCGCCCTGGCCAAGCGCATCCGTGACATGAAGGGCACGCTGGAGCGGCTCGAGGGGCTCTGCAAGTAGCTGCTCCCGCCGCCGCTCCTTCCGTGCCGGCGGCGGGGGCCTGGGGCTGCTGCTCTCTCGCTCCGGCGGCCCCACCGCTCACGGCGTCCGCAGCTCCCACCTGCACATCCTCGCTCGCTCTCCCCGTGCGTGACTTGCCGGCAGCAGTGGCCAGATCGCCTGGGTTGATCTGGACGAAGAGAAGTTTTTGCGGCGGACGAAGGAAAAAGTCCTGGTTGAAAACCGCGGGGTACATGGCAGATGGTGCTTTTTAGCTTCAGCTCCATTAAAGAATTTGGATTCCACATGCCTTACGCTTTCTATTTATTGAGGGCTAAGAGAAACTAACGAGTATTAATTAAATAATTAAAAGTAGATTTTTTTTTTTTAAATCAAATACAAAATTCTTGTGAGTACCTGCTTGATGCTTACAGGCATCTGTGCTTATTTGTAGTTGATTTGGAGCCTGAAGAGTAATTCTCACCTATGTTTTTATAGCAAATAAACTCACTGAACACCACTCTTTCTTACAGGACACAGTTTTAAGATAAGAGTAAGTTTACATATAGCAAAGACACTTGTTTGCTGAGAAGAATATAAAGTCCATGGAAGATAATTGAGATTCAGATAAGAACGCATCATGAGCAGAGTTCTAAATAAAAGCTTTCAGATGAAATGTGCTTTGCCTCTATTAATCTTCACAGTTTTCATGGTATAAAAGTTTAAATGGCATCACTGTGAAATGATCCTGTTATTTTGTCGTTTGCTTTTTTGTTTTCTATTTTGTTGGGTTTTTTTTTCTTTCCAGTTGGGAAAATATCTAATTACATGAGGAATAGAAGTACATGATGACATTATGTGGGTGTATGACTGACATAAAATGACTGCTTTTGAATAATTTATTTGTATAACTTGAAGCTTTTGTGTACGAATCACAATGTGCAGAAGTGATTTTTCTATATCAGGGAGTGTTTCCTTTGAGACCTGAAAGCAGCTGAATTCTCTACTCGCTAATGTTCCTATGCAGAAAGCCTCTTAGGTGATGCTCTTAGCAATCTGTTTAGGTCACAAATGTCCCTGTAACAAGATTTCAGCAGAAAAAGGATCAATAATCTTTCCTAAGTGTAATAGTGCTTTTGGTGACCAGCGGCTTGTAAAAACATTGGAATGAAGGTAGCCAGAAACACTGCTTTAGTCCTGTACCCCTGTACCTGTGGTTGAAGAGCAGACAGGTTTACAGTGGGCAGAGCTGCTACCCCACCGTAATCTCCTCGAAAACGCCAGGTGAGGGATGAGCACTATGATACCCCGTGCTTCTGCATGCAGACAATAGTGAATTAGAACAAAATAATTTGTGTTAATGCCACCCTGCTTAGCATGATGCTAGTCCCTGGCCTGTTTTGAGCCCCTTGGCATGGTCATGTGTCCCTCAGCACAGGGTTGTGTTTCACATGTGGCCTTGTAGCCCTAGCAACCAGACAAGACTGGAATTGGGCTGTGCCAAGGTAGGGCTCTCTCTGGTACTGGGGAATAGGTGTGGCTCCAGGAGGGGACCAGAGGCCTACCAGAAGTCAGGGGGAAGAAAAAGCTGAACTGCTGCTGCATCCCGTGGGCCTAGAAGACACTAAAGAATGCTTAATACCACAGCAACAGCTGCACTTTTAATACTTCTGTTATTCCTGGGAAAGTTTGAACTCTTCTATTATGCAGATGCAGTAGTTTTGCTAAGTGTGTTTGGTATATGCTAAGAGCAAATACCAAAGGTTGATCTTGCACAATTTGTGAGTACTGTTGAAATGTACAGGAAAGACCTGCAAGCTTATTTGTGTAGCCACATATGTACAGCTACTCCTCACTCACACAAGCTAAGGTGAAGCCTTTAAAGTGTTTCAGTACACTCTTGGGTTTTGATAGTCTTTCATTTGTAGTCATCTTCATTCAATGCTAATTCCCTACTAAAATTGTTGAGTCTGTAGAATAAAGTTATTACTTTTATGTTTTTAATTGTTAGTGGTTAGTTGTTGTAGAGGTGTTTCACTTATTGTGTTTCTTATTTGGAAAAATAATTTGAAAGCTAATTTAAACTCTGCTTCTGCATCTGCACAGAGACCTTTTAATGTGAATGCAGAGCTGGTTTCAGTCTAGGTCTTCAGGCAATAATTTCTGACAGTGATGTCATTCATGTGATGAAAAAGGAATGACTGACTAGTGAATTGCAAGCATGAAGAAAGCAGTAATTATGTTTGGGTTTGTTTTTTTAATATTTTTCTGAACACATCAGCTTTTTTGAAGGGCAGATTTAACTGAACTTGTTGAAGTGTTCCTGTTCCCTGGTGTCTGCCTTGTGCCTTTGCCTTCCCTGGGGCAGGCACAGCCAAGTTGATGTCCGCTGTTCTGTGCCCCCACAATTGGTATTGGTTGGTAGCCCCATGGCTGCTGTAGTTCCCAGCCCCCTGTCCATAGCAGCCTGCATTGCTGCAGGAATGGTGACACTTGCCAGCGTCTGTGTCAGCGCAGCTCTGGTGGCAGCCCTGCCCTTGAAATCCCGTGGGAATCCCTGAGAGCTCTGTGCAGCTCTGTTGCTTCTGGTGAAGCTGGTCTTTCTGCAGCCATACGCTTCTCTACTGCCCTTTTGATCCTAGTCCAGGCTTTCTTGTGCACATCCTGTGTCAATTCTAGCACCTTCCAGCTTTTGGATGTTGAGAGTGAAAACTTAAAAGTTCTTTTAGCCTTTTTTGCTTAGTCTGTGGGCGAGCAGTGTAAAACCATGTTTGTGTTTTCCAAGATCAAATGGCTTGCATATATTTTCTTGCTTAGTCACTCAGTGTTACAATTGTTTGCTTTCCTTATCAGCTGCCAAGTGAACTTTCATTGTAACAAGATAAGCAAGGTCCGGGAAGAAAATTAACAAACTATAACGATGTGCATAGCACTAAGCAAAGCCAGATGCAGAATTATTTGTGGACTAGGAATGACTTCTCTACTCTGAGAACCACCACTCCATTAGGAATGGGTTTAGTCTGATAATTTTTTTTTCAAGTGTGAGGTCTGACTGTGGAAATCCTTTTTCTGATTAAGGTATGGTTGGTTCTGCTTCATTCAGTGCATTTTTAGTCTTCCTTCCTTTGTGAGGTTTTCTGTTCCTTGACTCTGATCCAGTTCTATATTTGTGCTATTTAAAGAAGCTTTACCAGAGAGAACTTTACTAGAGTGGAGAAAAAACATGGTCACACAAAGAATGAACTTCACCAACACTTCACTTTTAAGACTTTTTTCCCAGTGTTGCTTAACTGCATCAAATGTTCAATAAGTAAATGCATCATCTTTGTGTGTTTTTTGTATCTAAAATATACAATATTTTTGGCTGCAATGTGCAGCTTTTAGTTGGTACTTACTCCCATGAGTAGGGTCTTGACTGAGTTACCAGTGTGAGGAGCAACATGTGAGTTGAATCTAAGAACAAACCTCTTAGCATTACAGATGCAACTATTTTGAAATGGTTTCAAACAGCATGATTATAGTACCAAAAGACAAAAATTTGCAAAGCTTCCAAATTATCAACAGCTCTCCAGAGGAATAAGATCAATTCTTCTAGCAAACTGTGTTAGCCAAAACTGAAGAGTGTTAAGACAGACATCTCTTGCAATAGGTGTCATCCAACATAAGACAGGTTCTGGCTGTCAGATGCCACACTGCCTTGTCCTGATCAACCCTAGTGTGTACTTATGAAAAAAACAACTTTAAAGAACAGCAAATCATGTTTATGATACTGTCACAACCTGGTTTTATTGCCTGAAAATTACTTTGAGAAAAGAACATTCCTATAAAAATTATAAATTAGTCCAATTAGTACATTTTTGCGAGCATTGTCTGTACTTCTGGCATTGTCCCCAGCCTAGCCACATCCTGGAACCTCCTGTCACGCATGTAAGAGCACACATGGAAAATTGATGATGCTTCTCTTTCAGAAAGCTTAACGCAGTAACTGCGTCAGATGCAGGAATTGAAACACGACTGAATTTGACATTTGCCCCTTCAGCTTAGTGCTTCAGGAAAGCTTTTGTTGATGTTGTTCTCTGTTGTTTGAAGCTCCAAAACTAGAGATGTGACCAATGGACTTGAGCCCTGAGCTCCCACCTTAGCAGTCAAGATCCTTGTGCCCCTTGTTGCCACAGCAGTAACATTACCCTTTTCTTGTAACAGGACAAACGATCATCAAAATTTGAAACCTTCCTGAAGTTCTGGTTCCCTTCTATTATTTATACACATTAGAAGCTATACAATAAACAAACCAAAAACTCATAACCTCTTTACCCAAAGACTCTTAATTTATCCTCTTCCCAATCTGAGAGAATGTGAAAAGGTTTGCTAGCAGGGTTGGACTGTCATATGCATAGGCCAGGATGCAGCAGCAGTCATTAAGTGGGGGAGCAGAAAAGCAAAGGTAAAACTATCCTGATTATTTTCCTCAATTACAGCTACAAAGTGCTGCCACTGTAATTATTTCCAGAATTTGAGTTAACATTGCTATGATTAATTACTACGAAGTAACTTCGTTGAAAGTAGATTTTTATCGAAGAAGGGTAATAATTTATGTCAGTATTTTTGTTTTTATGAATGCTAGCTAGAGAGATAAGAATCCTAGAATTTTATCCAACACTATATTTGTTGTCTCATTGTCACTGAGGAAGTTTTCCCCTTGTTTTCTTTATAGACAAGCTAGAAAAATTCTCACCACTGAACTTGCGTGCAAGACAAAGAGCCATGCCCAGGGAGTTTTCAGAAGGGTTTAGTTAAGGACTTTGTCTAGAAATACATGTAAATTAAGGGGAAAAAAATCCACAAACTTGCCCAATCCTGGGTATCTGGTTTGTCAGTGGGATCATTTTACTACACTCAGTAGATGAAAATTCAAGAACTCCCAGGTTGAAATCCTAGATTTTTAATAAGTGAGCTTTCTTTCAATGGCTTAATACCAGCAGTGAAGTTTACCAGCCATTTTCACTCTAATGAGATTTTTCTTGTCTGAACTTGAGGTGATGCCATTCAAGGAAATGCTAACCTGAAAATAAACTCCTTTAAAGCCAAAGTATCTTTTGACTTTGTTCCACTTTCTGTTTTCACTGCCTATGCAATTTGTTTACTCAGTGGATTTTTTTTTCTCAGACTGGGACTTTTCCACTGACGTGTCCTCAGCTGGAAGGGATGGGGATTTTCTCACTGCTGAGCAACATTGTGATTTTCCATTTTCCAAAACTCTTCCTCCATGCCATTTATAGTTGATGATACCGATCTAGTTTGGTTTTGTTTCCCTGTTTAAAGAAAGAGATGTGCAACTAAAAGCCTTTCGTCTCTCGTCTCTCCTGCTCCGCTGCCGTCAGCTTTCTTTTGTCTGCTGAGAGGAACTGGAAAGTAGAACTGTGTCCCCACCCCCTCCTTCCCCTGCTCCGTTCACCATTTTCGACAGCCACCAGCTGTACCCCATTTCCCCTGGCAAAACTTTGTTCTGGACCTCATCAGTTCTCTGTGCTGTTCTTTGATCCCACTTATCTTCTGTCTGCAATTGCATGACTTACTACATCTGTGTTATTGTACTGGCAAGGCACCAGCCTTATTAGCTCAGTTGTGTCCTCTTCTGGCTGTCCTTGTTGTTTTTCGTTCCTGTTTGCCTCAAAT